ACTAAATAATGAAAACGCTGCTGGCAGCGGAATCCAATACAACTTGGCTGGATGACAGAGTCCCGGACAGAGAAGTGGAGCCGGCCGGCTTCACCCTGGTCAGAGCGGACCGCGATCCTGGTAAGAGAGCGACTCTGTACCCCGACATTGAACTGCTTTCTGTGTCATTGCGACCTTACTATCTGCCCCGTGAGTTCCCCCAATTGTTTGTTACCGTTGTGTATTGTTGATAATCACAAGTTTACTGGAGAACTGAGACCAAGTAGAGACTTTGGACAGGGTGGATATGGTATAATAAAGGCAGTTTATTCAGAGGTAAAGATATCTGGAATCGCGTGCACGGACTCGTTCGTCAAAGTCTTAGGGAGAAGAGAGCCCCGAAAACATTGTGTGCAGACATTTTATACAATAAATGATGTAGGTTGAATCTAGTAGTTCTGATCTTCTGATTGGTCCTGATGAGTTGGGCGAGGTCCCCTCCACTGTTGCATTGGCTCTGAGTCGGGTTCTCTGTCTTCAAATGTTCAGCCTAAAGAGAGGGGATTTTTGTGTGTGTGTGTGTGTGTGTGTTTAACAGTGATGATGTGTGTGTGTGTGTGTGTTATCAGTGATGATGTGTGTGTGTGTGTGTGTGTGTGTGTGTGTCCTCAGAGCAAGAACTCGTGAGTTGGAAGAACTGAGAGACCTATGGCGTGGGTGTTGTCCTTGGCCACCTACTGACAAGGCTGACAAGATAGGACTCTTTTGTCCATTGTTATAGGATAGGAACAGCATTGATTGAAAACAAACGCCCAACACAAAATGGGTCATGCACAAGATTTTAGTCAGACCAAGCTATAACATTATATATTTACTACGACAGTACATTCAACCAAAAGCTAATATAACAAAGGCATCAGAGATTATTTATAATCTGTCACAGAAACTGGAATCCATCTCCCCAGATCAGTCAATAAATGCTTCTGGTATTGACTTATATGCTGCCCCTGTCTTCATGTTGTTGCTGGACATATCTTTTTTAAAATGTGTGTAGGTCTATATAAAAGTCTACACACCCCTGTTAAAATGCCAGGTTTTTATGATGTAAAAGGATGAGACAAAGATAAATCATGACAGAACTTTTTCCACTGTTAATGTGACCTATAGTGTGAACAATTCAATTGAAAAACAAACTGAAATCTTCAAGGGGGAAAAATGAAAAATAAAAACCTTACAATAACCTGGTTGCATAAGTGTGCACACCCTCTTATAATAATTGGGGATGTGGCTGTGTTCAGAATTAACCAATCACATTCAAACGCATGTTAAATAGAAGTCATTACACACCTGCCATCATTTAAAGTGACTCTGATTAATCACAAATAAAGTTCAGCTGTTCTAGTAGGAATTTCCTGACATTTTCTTAGTTGCATCTCATAGCAAAAGCCATGGTCCGCAGAGAGCTTCCAAGGCATCAGAGGGATCTCATTGTTGAAATATATCAGTCAGGAGAAGGGTACAAAATACTTTCCAAAGCATTACATATACCATGGAACACAGTGAAGACAGTCATCATCAAGTGGAGAAAATATGGCACAACAGAGACATTACCAAGAACTGGACGTCCCTCCAAAATGTATGAAAAGACGAGAAGAAAACTGGTCTGGGATGCTTCCAAGAGGCCTACAGCAACATTAAAGGAACTGCAGGAATTTCTGGCAAGTACTGGCTGTGTGCTACACGTGACAACAATCTCCCGTATTCTTCATATGAATGGGCTATGGGGTAGGGTGGCAAGACGGAAGCCTTTTCTTACAAAGAAAAACATCCAAGCCCGGCTGAAGTTTGCAAAAACAAACACCATACCCACAGTGAAGCATGGTGGTGGCAGCATCATGCTTTGGGGCTGATTTTCTTCAGCTGGAACCAGGGCCTTAGTCAGGGTGGAGGGAATTATGAACAGTTCCAAATACCAGGCAATTTTGGCACAAAACCTTCAGGCGTCCATTAGAAAGCTGAAGATGAAGTTCACCTTTCAGCACGACAACGACCCAAAGCACACATCCAAATCCACAAAAGCATGGCTTCACCAGAAGAAGATTAACGTTTTGGAATGGCCTGAATCCAATTGAACATATCTGGGGTGATCTGAAGAGGGCTGTGCACAGGAGATGTCCTCGCAATATGACAGATTGGAGCGCTTTTGCAAAAAAGAGTGGGCAAATATTGCCACGTCAAGATGTGCCAGATGCACCCAAAAAGACTGAGTGCTGTAATAAAATCAAAAGGTGCTTCAACAAAGTATTAACCTCCCGACTGGCGCAGTGGTCTAAGGCACTGCATCGCAGTGCTAGCTGTGCCACTAGTGATCCTGGTTCAAATCCAGGCTCTGTCGTAGCTGGCCGCGACCGGGAGACCCATGGGGCGGCGCACAATTGGTCCAGGGTAGGGGAGGGAATGGCTGGCAGGGATGTAGCTCAGTAGAGCATGGCGTTTGCAACACCAGGGTTGTGGGTTTGATTCCCACGGGGGGCCAGTATAAAAAAGAATGTATGCGCTCACTAACTGTAAGTTGCTCTGGATAAGAGCGTCTGCTAAATGACGTAAATGTATTAGTTTAAGGGTGTGCACACTTATGCAACCAGGTTATTGTGAGTTTTACATTAAAGGTGGAAAAAGTTCTGACATGATTTACATCACAAATTATTTTACATCACAAAAACCTGGCATTTTAACAGGGTGTGTAGACTTTTTATATCCACTGTTTATATATATGTTCCCCCCCACTTCTAAAAACAAAGTTGCGCCCCTGGAATTAAATGTTAATAATATGTATATGAACTGAATATGCTTGTCAACAACAGCCAGTTTATTAATTTTTTGCCTAATCTGACTGCTGTTACCTTCAATCTAATGTGTTCTAACAACTGACCGGCAATTGCGATAGAGCTTTGTTAACTTCCAATTTAATTAACTAAACATGTCCATTAATAATTGCATAATAACACAACAATAAACTGAAGTTACAGGCTATTTATTAAATTGGTTTGCCAGCCCCAGGTAGGCTACACAAGCGGCACATTGATTTGCAATGACTCCAGTGATATCGTAATTTCAACATATTTATTGTATCAAATGGTAGCCTACAGTAGCATATAAATTAATAGGCTACTTGATGGCCAAGAGGCAAATATATCATTCTCCACATAAAAAGGACCATGCGAGGGAGTTCCAGAACTTCCATTTAACATTTCCACTCGGGCAGCCCCTGAGACCCAAGAACTGAGCATGCATAGCAGCCCCCGAGACCCAAAAACTGAGCATGCATAGCAGCCCCCTAGCCCCAAAAACTAAGCATGCATTAAACACTTCGCTTGATACCGTTTTCTTTAAGCAAAGTCAACATTAGAATACAGTTTAAACCTCCTCTGAGCAAATTGATGTAACGTGCTCTTTTCCTGTGCTTAGTCTCCATTATTTCTTAATGTGCTTCAGTTCTAGCATGTTAATGTTTTATGGAAAAAGGGTTGGAAATAGGTGTCTCCATAATTACAATCTAAATAGCCTACCTACAACAGGTAAAAAGTTGTCCCCCCCCCCTGCTGATGTTGCTTCCAGAGGCGGTTTGGAACTCGGTAGTGAGTGTTGCAACCAAGGAATGCGCTTCAGTACTCAGCGGTCCCATTCTGTGAGCTTGTGTGGCTTACCACTTCGTGGCTGAGACGTTGTTGCTCCTAGAAGTTTCCACTTCACAATAACAGCGATTACAGTTGACCGGGGCAGCTCTAGCAGGGCAGAAATGTCACAAACTGACTTGTTGGAAAGGTGGCATCCTATGACGGTGCCACGTTGAAAGTCACTTAGCTCTTCAGTAAGGCCATTCTCCTGCCAATGTTTGTCTATGGAGATTGCATGGCTGTGTGCTCGATTTTGTACACCTGTCAGCAACGGGCGTGTCTGAAATAGCCGAATCTACTAATTTGAAGAGGTGTCCACATTCACATGTATATATAGTGTATGTGAGGATTCAGCATTTGGTTTATAAGGTTTACATTTGGTTTGTGTGTTGTAGGCATGGTTGGGCAGGTAGTTGTTCCCTAATCCCTGGTAGTTCCTCCTAGGTACTTGTCAAAGCAGCTTAATGTTTCCAGGTTTCCATCCAACTATTTCATGCTGATGAATTACCTGACGCATAAAAATAGTCACGACCGGTTGATGGAAACAGGGTATGCGGTACAATTGTATAAATGCTGACAATTTGTTCGTTTTACAGGGTGGGATCTTTTTGTGTCGGTAAAATTAATTATGCGAGAAATTGCGCCTTCATGCGCAAATATTGATATAATAACCATCACGCGATAATATGTTGTGTGGTCCTCACACTACGACTCGGGAAAACATGCAGTTTATTAGGCTACAGATGAAATAAATTATGATGAACATCACAGGGTGGTGAAAGTGCACGTGATGAATTTGATGCTCCTTTCCAATAAATGTCGAGGGTCTTATTCTGGTGACATGATGATCGATGCTTGGCCGCCGTTTGACAAATAAAAATAATATCGCGCTTATCCATAATAATCTCATCATGTAGGTAGCCTACCCGCACTGTATCTGCAAGCTGTTGAGCTGTTGGCTAGAGTGCACGTGCCAAGATCAGAGTGGGCACATTTTCTATATAACGTTAACGCAACAGTTTTTGTGACAAAATCATCAGTAGGGTTGAAAATGCGATGAAAACCCATTTAACTTGTTTTGATCAAACTATTGCGGATAAAAGTCTGTGCGTGATGACGTAGTGCACATCAAAATAACGTTTGCTGTTAAATTCACATGTACCGAATGAAAAATACATCTCTGGTGGTAAAATTCGAACATTATTTATGCAGAATTGGATGGAAACCTAGCTCTATTGCATTCACTACCGTGTACTACAGTGTTTGTAGTGTTTCTTGGGCACTTATTGTCCAAACATTTACATTTAACCACAAACCACTATTAAAGATGATTTTATTTACATGATTTTTTTTGTGTGCAAAATTAACAGCTTTACCTTTCATTAAAAGCAAACAACTAAACCAATAATCAAAGTCCTTCATTGCTGAAACAAACTGAAACCACAGCTTTACAATCAAATAAGATGCCTCTCAATTCCTGATTAGGACAAGTGATACCTTCAGTAGTTTCAATTTACCATGATTAACAATAATTACTATTGTATTGAAAATAACATTGTAATCTTTAGTTGCTCTGGAAGCTGTTACCATTTCTAAAGAATGTAATTTCAGTTGTAAAATGTAAAATCAACTGCCCTTTTAAAACTGCAATAGTGTGGATAAGCATCACTAACAAAACTATTTGAACTGAGTGAGTTGAAGTGCAGAGATCACTTAATTAACATGGTCTGAGCAAAACATGGTGCAGTTTCATTTTCAAGGTAACACTCAAACATATCTTGAAGTTGAGTAAAGTAGCATCTCTCAAAACACTCATTTGAATACAACCTTCTCTTTTCTAAGGGAAAGTGTATTTTTATTACATGTACAATAACGTACACAAATTAAGCAAGGTCACACAAGAGACCAGTAGTAATGATAAGAGGTATATCTGCGATTACAGTAGAACTTCACATTTTAATTAAACCTCTTCTTGGCGCGGAGCTCTTGGAGCCCCTCTCGGCTCACTGCTTACTTTCTTTCAGCAAAACAGCAAACACACGACCAACGGCATCCCTACAAAACACAAGCAATGTGGGTCTCTCACACGGAACTGCACCCGTTGGGACACCCAACCACCTAGGCACACTCAATCATAGCAGCTACACCTCGGCAAGCCCTTGAAGGAGCTAACCCAAAGACAAACAAAAAAGGAAACATCTTAAGAGTGAAAATAAGTGACATCCCTGATGTTGAGAAAATTAAGATGTTTTTTTAACTTATATATAATATATTTATCTCTATATGCTGATCAGTCCCCGTTAGAGTCTGTGTCATCATTAATATAGTCTTCCTCTATGGGCGTTTCACCGTTCTCTGTCCCCCACTCATCCTCATCATACTCAATACTGTCATTATCCTCTAGTAGTTCATTCTCAGGCTCAGGCCCACCTGCGGCTGCTGCGGCCTCTGCCCCGCCGGGCTCTGCAAACTGGCCCAGGTCCCTGCCTGGCGCCACGTAGCCGTTGTTGTTGAAGGGTGCCCTGTCCCGGGCCTCCTCCTCAACGTACACCTTCTGGTGGCACATAGGACACGTGTCCTGGATGTAGAGCCACTTACGGAGGCAGAGTGCGTGAAAGTAGTGTTGGCACGGCGTGATACGTGCCGACGTGGCAAACTCCTGGTAGCATATGGCACAGACGTCCTCGATGTCGCGCAGCTGGCCACCCTTCACCTCCGGCAAGGAGTTGATTTTCTTGACAGCCGTACGGCGGTTGATGAAGGTCTTCCAGCCATTCTTGGCCTGCAGGTAGATGTTGAAGTAGGCGTGGAGGCACATCATGCAGGCGCGGATCTTGCTCCCTGACTCAAACATCATGGTGTAGGCGCCGTTTCCAAACATGATGACGCCAAAGACAAACTCGATGATGTTGCCTGTGGAGCGCACGTAGTAAACGTAGTCGTCCAGCTTCTCCCACAGCACGTTGTAGTAGCCGTCCACCATAAAGAGGCCGTAGACAGTCAGCGACACCACCACCTTGAGGCAGAGCTCCACGCAGAAGGCAGTGACGGCGAACAGCCAGGTGTTGAGGGCGTAGCGGTGCCACAGGGTGTAGCTGAGCACAACGGGCAGCACGAAGAGGCAGAGCGATACCAGCAGGACCGGGAAGTGACGGCGGAAGGAGGAGACGTGCGAGGCACTCAGCGACATGAGCACGGGGTCTGTCATGCCATGGATGAAGTGCAGGATGGCAGTCAGCAGAAGGCACATGTTGCGGCTGAGCCGCACCAGCCGTTCCTCAGGGTCCAGGCCACTCAGGCCCGTTTGCAGGGCCAGGATGAAGAAGAGAACGGGCGCCACGAAGCCCAGCCGCTTGTCCTCCTCCTCGGTAGAGCCGATGAATGCTAGGATGCTGAGGCCCAGGTAGTGGGCGATGGAGGAGATGACGGCACTCATGCCCAACACAGTCAGCGTAGAGTCGCAGCCGCTGATGATGAGGTTGCTGAACAGGTCCCAGAAGACGTCCCACGTCAGGTAGCTGTGGTCGCCGCTCTCGTGCCGTACCACCTTGACTACGTAAACCAGGATGATGGCCTGCGCTGTCATGCGTGTGAGCCAGAAGACACGTAGCACGTCCGGGAACCGGATCCTCTTCCAGGTATCCTCTACCAGAAGCTGCAGCCCGTAGATGCGGTACATGTGGCGCAACAGTAGGTAGACGTAGCGGCAGGAATAGTAGAACCACTTGAGCTTAAGGGCCAGGCACACAGCCGTGTTCAGAGCCAGAGCCAAGCCAGAGGCCACTGCTACCAGTTGCCGTACGTCCACGGGAAGCTCGATGATGAGCCCCCACAGCGGAATCATGATATCCAGGACCACAAGAACAGCAAACACGGACTGAATGTTTAGCAGTACCACATAGCCCATGCCGAAAAGGAGTTGCACCACGGCCATACCCAACCATAGGGTGGGCCCGTTTCGTGGTAGGAGTCTGAAACCCAGCGCTGCTTTGTAGTAGGCGCTGTAGAAGTCTATGTGAGATATGGCATAGTAGTTGATAAGAACGGCCACCACTCCCAGGAGCACAGCGAAGAATAGTGTGTAGAACTTGAATAGGGCCTTCTGTGACAACACCAGGACCACACTGGAGACCATGATACCTGAAACAAATTCAAACCATAGTGTCAACATAGCATCAAGTGAAATAGACCATCTGCTGTACAAAAGGTATTGATTTATGATAAGGTTTAGAACTACATTTAGCTGGAGAGGAATCAGTCATTTGGCAGTATCTTACTTTAGGCAAACTATTTGCCAGTGGATACCGACCCTACCGTTGCGCTTGTTTACACGGAGCTGCACTGGGGTCGGAACGCAATCATGGTTACATTAAGACACAGTGGAGCCAGCGTGAGATATGGGTCGGAAATCATACCTCAATGCAGGGATGGGATATGCCACTGTACTCCAAATTTTACCTTTATCCACACTACTCCATCGGGAAGATTTCAATACTGCTAGTTTTGCCGGAAAACTGCCCTTTTCGTCCTCATAGTAGGTAGCACTAGCCACAGCAGCCATTATGGAAAAGCACGTCACGTTGAACAACAAAGGAGCTGAATGGCTGACGCTGCCATTTCAAAATTGGCTGCAGTGTTTACTGTTTGCTAGTATGAGGACGAAAAGGGTCGTTTTCCAGGAAAATGAACAGTATTTCAATCTTCTCGATGTATCAGTGTGGATAAAGGTACAATTTGGAATACAGTGGCATATCCCATCCGTGCATCAAGGTACATTTTCAGACCCATATCTCACGCTGGCTCTTAATGTAAGCATGATTGCATTCCGACCCCAGTGTTGTTCAGCGTAAACAAGCGCAAAGGTAGGGTTGGTATATAAAAATGTGTCTGAAAACATTACATAGATAGGTCTAAGTTTAACAATTGACATGTTTGCAAGGAGAGTGTAGGATGGTAACTTGCAGGGTAGGTAGGCTGTTTGACAAGGGTCATGCAAACAGTGTTGGACTTCAGGGCAGTAAGTATGCCCAAAAAGTAACTGATCAAACACACATTGAGGTCAGCAAACTACCTAGACGTGTTTGTTTGACATCTAAACATGTTTGTTTGCCTGTGACAGTATCGACAGGCCAAAATGAAGGCCACACCGTCAGTTATTTGTCCTGCATTGACAAAACAGGTTTAGCCCATACTTCATAACTTTACTAAGTAGCTACTTGGCCAGAGGTAAATGATCTTACAACACCTAGCTGGTATTCATTTGTCTGATGAGCATGCATATGACCAACATATTGGCTAGCGTTATTTAGTTGGCTAGCTAACTGTACTAGAAAGCCTAGAAGGAGTGAGGGTAGGGTTAATAGCTACCTATCTGGCTAACAACTGCGCAAAACAAGGTCTTTGCGTTGTTATCGCTGGTAAAACGGCTTTGGAAGGATTGGACTGTGGTCGAGGCCCTTCGCGGTTGACAGTTGACGCGGAACAGCCACACTGGTGTCTGCAATAGTAGCTAGATAGCTGTCAAGATGTTGACAGTGGCTAATACTTATCTTACCCATGACTCGGATTAAAATGTTGCCCGCTGTCCCGGCCCATCCTGACCCAGGATCATAGTATGAGTTAAAAATGGCGTCGATAATAAAGATACAAGGGACTCGAAGTGCCACATCCAGCACGGTCAAGGCTTGTTGGCCGATTCGGACATTAGCTGACGCCATGGCATAGGGCGTAAGTCCTGGAGGACTCGGTCACTCCGTTTAAAGAGTTAAAAACTCCAGCTTCTCACTTCTTTCGGCGTCAACTTCCCACACGTTATTTAACGGGGTCCATACAATCCGCCATCTTCGCTGCACTCCTGTTGCTATGCAAAGAACGCGGAAGTTGCTACTTTTTTGTAACCCCTCGTGACGTTTCGGACGTCAAAAGGTGTGGCCTGTGACGTTATCGATGTGCCTTTCGTTTCCAATGGGAGTAAATTAATCATAGTGAGATTCTATTGGCGCGTTGTAGCATTTATTTGCATATTTGTGTTAGGGAAACGCCCACTCTGTGAAGTGCGCGTGTGCAATAACTCAGTTTGCCCTTGCACTCCTTCTAAACAACGCACCTTTTAGAAACTTTGGCAAAGGGTAAAGTCTACAAAACGCAGTCCACTCTGTTTGTTACATATTCGAGTTTTGGAAACAGAATACTGTATGGAGATCAAATGTTTTATCGATGAGAAAATTTGCAGAATGTCAGCCAAAATCCCTCTGGCTCCATCTTCCCATTGCCGGCCACTGAGCTTCCTCTCATCACCACATTTGGTAGTGAGTGGAAACGCCAACCGGATGCTTCACATTTATACATCTGGTGAAATATCTGTCGCATTGTTCAAGATGTGGCCTTACGGTGATTTCTGCCGCGTTCACGTGCTAGTCGGAAATAGGAAACGTTATATTTTATTACAATAATAATTCAATACAAAAGGTACACGGGGAACATAAAGTACTAAATTTTGGCCAAAATAATTAAATTACATACAATTGTTTCAAACGATTTATATGGTAGGTAAAGAATCCAAGCATCTCCAAGCATCTCTCCATGATAGGGTAAAATCTTCATAAATATGAGCAATTATAAATCTACTCTTGTCAGAAATGTCTGAGTTTCCTAGTTCTGACTAGCATGTAAACGCAGCATCTAAGACAATAGGGAACTTGGAAAAAACAAGGTCAAATCATGAAGTCAGTGATCTTAAGGTCAGAAAGTCAGAGCTCTATAAATGATTTCAAGACAACTGCGAACTCTGAAAAAAAACAAGGTCAAATCATGACATTAGTGATATTCAGGTCGGAAAGTCGGAGCTCTAGAAAGATGCCAGAGTTTCCGACTTGGAATTCCAAGTTGGATGACTGTTCAAAACAATTTTTCCCAGTAGGAGCTAGTTTTTTTCCTTGTTCCCAGTTGTCTTGAACGCACTAAAGTCGGATGTTGGAGATTCCAGTTTCCAGTTGTTTTGAACACGGCATTACAGTTGTTAAATATCTGTCTTTCAGCAGCTTTCAGTAAATCACTAATAACATTTTCATCTTTTTGTGCAATCGATGATGGTTCACTTCCAACACTTCCTGTAACAGAATTAAATGCATGAGGGGGTTGTTGCTCAACCTAAACATTCAGGTCACACACACACAGATCAGTCAACTGTTACCTAGCATGTCAATGCAAATACTGATTTGAGGGATTACTTGAATTCATTATGAAAAAACGTTTTTTATTTGGTTATGAGTATTTTATTTCTTCTTTGACTCTAATTGAAGGAACTTTCCTAAGCCATGCAAAGTTGGCGATAAGGCATTTCTGAGGACTTCACAGATTGATACCAGCAAGTGCTAACATGAGCAGTTGGACCCTGTTGGCAGATGGTGTAAACATAAACTACTCTTGAAGAGTAGCATGAAATGCTCTTCCCTAAGGGCAAAAGGCTTTTTCAAATTAGGTCAGGGAAAATGTATTTTAGGAAATGTAATCAGCTTCCAGTAAAGAACACATTCATAGTGGTGTTGTAAATTATGTTTGCCATCTCCACAGGATCCTCATTCCTTGCAGCAGCCATGACTTCAAGCACTTGTCTGGAACAAAGGTAAAAAAGTTATTGATATTACAAAAAGTCTCAAATCATCCTGAACAACAACACAATGAGTTATCACAGGGCTAATCAATTCAATTCAGCAGTTAATTCAGCTGGTTATGCTCAGATTAGCGTGAACGAATGAACAAGTCTAAATTGGGTCATCACTGTAACATACTATATGCTAACGAGACCCCTAGATATTGTACATTCCCTTTCAACCTAGGAACCAACTGACATACATGATATGGCAGGGCTCGTTCCTGTCCTTCAAGCAGTGTCCTGCCTCCCATTTCTTCTTTGTGGGAAATGTAGTTTTGATGTGCTTGGCCCCCGCATGAGTGTTCTTCACCCCACACCATGGAGCATCTAGAAATGTGAGGAGAGCATTCACTCAAACTAGCATTCTCCCAATGTTCTGAAGCAAGCTGAGACACAGATTAATATAAGCACTTTTTCTCAGCAGGGTCACAAACCTGTCTCAATCATCAGTCTTTCACTGGGAATGGACTTCATCGCTTCAATATTTGCTCCTGTTTTCAAAGAACTGAAATGGTGAGAGAACAAAAACAAAGATTTGGAATGAAATAGACAATTTTTACACAGGTGCGTATTCTGCATAATAACTTCTCAATCTCAAAATGATCTCACCAGCCGTTTATGCCAATATATAGATCCAGGTCAATAAGGGCAGCAGCATCTTCTTTAGTTCCATCAAAAGAGTGGACCTGGTAGATTTGAAAAGCATTCAATGACACTCTGATTTATAACTTTTCTAGGGGTCAAGGGGAAATAATGTATTCATTACATGAATGGTTCCCAACTACAAAATAACGTCTGAGACATTTCCTTACCACACCTCCGACACATCTGTCTCTGTTTCTCTTCATGATGTCTGCCAATAAAAAAATGACAATACAAAACATTAGCCATTGTCATGGAATCAAGAGGCCGATGTTGTACATGTGTGAGACAACAAACATACCAAGGAAATCCGTATGCGAGTTTCTGCAGTGAAGGAACATTGGCAGTTTGGTTTCCTCAGCCAAGTCGAACTGCTTCTCAAAATACCTGTCACAGGGAAAAAGTGGTTTGATGCATTTATAATCTTAACTTTTCAATTTTTCCTTCTGTTAAGTGCAGTACATTATTTGTATTGGTGCAGTCTCTAAACATTCTTCTAAAATAAAAAGGTAACTCACTTCATTTGAGTTTCTTTTGGACAGAATTCCAACCTGTCAAAATCTGTTGTGTTGAGAGTAGAGGCATATAGTGGGCTAAATAACTTGACACATTTATTGTACATGTACCAGTATGTTGAAACTGTAAACAACACTAAAATATACATGTATAACAGGGACTGTTAAGAGTTGGAGATGATGACAATATATGGCTGCCAACCTACCTAATCCACATTCTCCAATGGCCACCACCTTGCCCTTGTTTGATGTTGCCAACTCCCTAAGTGATGTGAAGTACTGATCTGGTCCACTCTGTTCAAACTCACTGCAGCGTGTTGGATGACATCCAACCGTACTGTAAAATTCCTCTGTGCATAGACACGAATTGTATGACCATAATTAAATTGTTATAACTCTGATAGCGCTGACAAAATGCATTAAACACGAGTGAATAATCATTTTAATCCTAGTCATTTTGATACATCATCATTACCTCTGGACTCTGCTAATTTGAGGGCCTCCTTGCTGTCTTCAAGATTTCCCCCCGTGATCATGAACTGTAAGGGTTAAGGAACATGTGCCAGGGCTCTCCAACCCGGTTCCTGGAGAGCTACCCTCCTGTAGGTTTTCACTCCAACCCCAGTTGTAACTAACCTAATTCCGTTTCTCAACCAACTAATTATTAGGATCAGGTGCCATAGATTAGGGTTGGAGTGAAAACCGACAGCACAGTAGCTCTCCAGGAAGAGGGTTGGATAGCCCTGATGTAGGCTATTAACACAATACTATATTTATGATGTTGACATGAAATTAAACATTGACACAAATCTTACCTTTTGGACTCCAACTTTGACAGCACGGTCAATTATCTGATCAAAGTCACCTGCCCCAAAACAAGTACAGATATGTTAGAAATGCTTAATACATTCCCAATCAGCCTAGTAAATGTAACAGAGATGCATATTGTCAATTTGTAAGTCGCTCTGGATAAGAGCATCTGCTAAATGACTTAAATGTAAAAATATTGCACATATCAGATCAGATGTCTCATTTGACAGTGTTATGTAGCCCAAATGCATGTTCAACTCACACCTACCTTTATGTTTTTGATTTCCTCTGTAAACTCCTCGAAACATAGGGTCTGTTAGGTTAATACCAATATCTGTGGGAGAATGGCATACATCATCATAACTCAGAAATCATATATATCCCCTGCTTTATAGGCATCAATGTCTATAGTAAGTACTAAGCAGCTATACATAATGTAGACAAGACAACCTTACATCCACTTTCAGCTTTACTATTAATAGGCAGCTCATCAGCTATTTTGAACTGTGTATAAAGTTAGGCTATTGTCAAGTGGCACTGTAACAATAGATCATCTCTGATTCTGTAGATGATTCTGTACAAGCTTCCATGCACAGCTAATGTAATGTAATGATGTCTTGTTACATTTAGGGCAGTGGCGACCCACATTCTATGCAAAAGAACAGGGGGGTTACCTGTTTTGCATGTTATTTTGGCATTAATACATGTCATTGAGTTAATAAAGCCTCCATACAAACATGGTCTATTTTTTGCTTTCTTGAGTAAGGCAGCTCCAAAATGCAGGTGTTTCAGCCTAGCTCAGTGCTTTCTGTGGTGGTGGGGCAGCCAGTGGAAAATTTGGAGCGTAGGGGTTGGTAATGTTCTCTAGTTGCACCGTGATTGGCTCAGTGTTCTGTCACTCATGGAGACAGTAAATCACTGCCAAATCTAAGGGTAGAGCTCGAAAATTCAAGCCCCTTGGGTGCTGCCATAGAGTTACATTAGAAGTGCCCATCCAAGAAGGCTCAAGGTCATTGGCCACAGATAAAATGACATCAAATCACGTTATATCTACAGTAGCTTTGATTTGACTGATCATGTCAACATCATACTTTCAAAATCTTAGCTAGCAGTCGTCGTCATCATCAATCAAGTCGACAATCTACTGGCAAATCCTTTCTAACCCTTGTCATATGAAGAGAAATAATGAAGAGAAATTATAGATAACACGTATTGGTGCTCATCGGCCATTCGACAAAAACATTACACAACAAGTTGGAAATTGCACATTCAACAATGAGTGGTTTGGATGGAATCAGTGGCTAACTGCAAGCATTGCAAAGCAATCACTAGCCTGCTATTCAGTGGAGTGGGTGTGTGGTCCCAATTCTCGGTTTAAGGGTCTCTTTTCCAAGCTTAAAATGATAAACATTCAACATTGGCAATACTGTCAATCCGGCATGATTTCTGCCGCACTCAAAACAACTGTTAACTCAGAACTGGGAAATCTGACTTCAATGAGTTCAAGACAACTGGGAACTCTGGAAAAAACTAGCTCTGACTGGGAAAATACGCTTTGAACGGTCATCCAACTCAGAATTATAAATCGGAAACTCGGGACTCTTTCTAGAGCTACGACCTGAAGATCACTGACGTCATCATGATTCGACCTTGTTTTTTCCGAGTTCCCAGTTGTCTTGAAAGCACCATAAATCCAGAGAATGCCAGACTTTGATGACATTTGCCCATTTGGACTGAGTTCAAGTGAGCACTGCACAACAAGGTGAGTCCAAAAATGTACTGTATGCTGCTGCATAAATGAGGTAATATGCCAGGGAGATATGTATACTGTAGCTAAGAAAGTAACACTAACTGTATGTTGTGTAGTAAGCTGTTAGTAGCCCATGTGCCTCACCTTAATAATTTGGTATATTTTTCACTCTTAATTTCGCCTACTGTTCTGACTTGGTGGTGCACATGTAGCCTATAACCTGTTTTAGAGAAATGTAATTATCGAATATTGTAAGAGCTTTCATTGTCTGCTTAAATGGCCCCTTTATTTAGCCTATTGTTCAGACATGGTGTACTGGGAGAACACTGTAAGAACGGCCCATGTTCTGAATTCTGTCATTGTACATTTCAAAAGTGCAGAACAAATAGTTATATTGACTACGTCCATACTAGCTCGCTCATTAATGTCTTAATCGAAATTACGGATTGCCTCTTATCTGCTTGTTGTCCCCTTATGCCATAGTTTGTACATCTCAGATGTCAGTAGAAACCACAATTGTTTAAGCAAGTCAACCATATCAGCTATGTTTTTTTTCAAGGCAGTAAATGAGGCTGAATGAACTGTTTCGCTGCCAGACAAGGCTCCGCTGATAGCCAGGTGTAGCAGTGGTAAGGTGTTGGGACTGCTGTTGGGATTCTGCTGTTGTGACAGCTTTATGTAGGCCCTAAAACAGTTTGTTGGCACAGTTTGTCACCGTTATAGTGTAATTAATGTATTGTTTAGTGTTGTGTTATGTAGTGGCTTTACTGGCATGCATCCCCACAATTTATGTTTTGTTTACCCCACCGAGATTTACATGCTAAAATCGCCACTGATTTAGGGGCATAGTTTAGAAAACTGGCTAGAATATCTGTCGTTCGGACAATTGTGGTGGGTTCTGTTAAGCTAAGCTAGCTAGCTAGCAGTAGTAGTAGTAGTAGTAGTAGTGTACATTCAGCAACACCCATTTCCCTAACTTAGACAACGTATGATTTTATAGTTGCTTGCAGTACTGCTCAGTCCAATCCCTGGTAACGTCTTACCTATAAATTTTAAGTGTGCCATCCTTGCAAGCCTGCTGAAAGAAACTCCACTTGCAATTTTGAGCATTTCCCATAATTCTACAACGGCATACACAATTACCATATATAACCAAATAGATACGCATACTTCATCTTTACCTTTGTCTCAGGTGATGAAAAATGAAAATGACGAAAGGAAATATGATGTATTGTTTATTATTACAGTTACTCTAGAGCATTATCAGATATTCTTTGCTATTATTAATATTGCTAAAATAGTAAGAATTGTATTGGGCATCACGTAGGTGTAAAATGTAATGCCAAATCGCAGACATCCAATGTCCCACAATCCTCATCGCCACCGAAGGTGACAGCGGACAGAAAAAATGGCAACTGCGTACCTTACTCACCATCAAAAAGTCTTGAGGCTTTACAAAAAATCATTGAGGCACCTTGAATCATGGTGTATTTTTAGGTAAGTAAAGTAGTTCTCGTTTTGGAGTCTTATTGAGTAATGTGCAATGCTCTTATCGACTGCATGGAACCAACTTGTTAGCTAGCTAGCTAGGTCACCCTCTGTTTACCCGTACGCGGTGGCGTGGGGCTAACGTTAGTAACGTAACGATACGCTCGCTGACATGCTATAGTAGCCAGCTGGTGGATAAACTATATTTGCTAACTATCTGCTCGATTCAAGATGGTGCATGCCTCTGTACTCCGATAGCTATCGATCATACACGCACACTCAGTGTAGCCTGTTGTTGTTGACACTAACCGCAGCACCACCTACTTATTTGGTTTACAGGGATAAATACCGCTTCTACGCGTGCATGCTGAGGGCACGCTTCGATGAGGCCAAGGATGAGAAGGACATGGTCAAAGCCACTATGATGCTGAAGGCAGGAGAAGAGGAATTCTGGTCTAACCAACACCCCCAGCCCTACCTCTTCCCGGACTCTCCAGGAGGAACTTCCTATGAAAGATATGAAATGTACAAGGTAATTAAATTAGAAGATTGTCCAACATCTGGATGTGCATTGTGTGTTACGGATTAGGGTCCTTCTCTCATCCCGGGATTTACGGTATTACCAGTTTAGTACACAAAGGGGCAACAAAAAGACTCATAAAAGCCCATTGCATTGGGCGTCTATTACCAGAATGCAAACAAAATTAGCACAATTAATAGCGAATTTCCATAGAGGCTGCTATCTGAATATGATAACGAGCACAAGTGAAAATAAACTAATTACAAAGACAGGCAATTCAGCTCTTAAAGTTATACATATATAGGAAGGAGCTACTGAATGTCCTTTTTGGGGAGTTTGAACATTTTACAAGCGAATGTGAATGAGAGACATTGTGCAAATGAACAAAGTTTTGACACATGCTTGTCTAAGGAAGAACAGTACTGGCTCTGAAGCAGCATGTGCACATGCTGTGTCTGTGTGGAGTCTGGATTCGCTAGGGCAACAGGCCTGCCTGCTCTGCTCAGAGAACAGGTGGGAGGAGCAGACAGGCTGAGAATGGAGAGGACAAAAAGATAACTCATCCAAAGGGCATTGACTTCTCAAACACGGCAGAAGCGAACACTATGATGCCTTGTGACCTTATTAATTCAGCCACTTGCTTAGATAACTTGCAAGTTAAACTTAGGGGTTGCGTTAACGCAGAATTCAGCATTTTTTACGCAGGAAAACATTATTAAACACATAAGAAATATCTTTCTGCCAGATCTAAAATGGTTCTTGTAATTTCTGCTCGGCATCACACTAATTTTGTGCTTCAGTTGCACTTCTCCACTCGGATGAGAGTTCACGAACGGGCATTCTATCAGCAGACAACACTCTGACTGATGTGTAGCTAGTTTTCTCCTGTGCTTTTCTCGGTGTAGTCAGCTTACTTTTCTCCGGTAAAATTAAAGATTAACTTTAAGCAAAACATTTGGAAATGTAGCTGGCTACATTCTTTCTATGATAAACATTAGAAACATGATGGCCATGCATCGTTAAAAAAAAGACCTTGCTTTTTCATGTAAGCTCATTTACTTGTGTGGCTGCCAGCCAAATAGCGTTGCACTTCTGTTGTCATCTGATGAAAATGAAGCTATTTTCTGCTGAATGTGTTGCACTAATGTATTTTCTGTGAAGTAAAACTATAGTGGTACGTCCCTTATCATTCTATTGAAGCAAATAAACACTGACTTTCAATATAAAACCCGACCCCTGTCAATATACAGCTGGACTCACCTGCTCCCTCTTTCTGCCGTTGTGCTATTTACAAACACACGTGACTGGCTCAACTGTTCTGGGGAACAACGGTAAGCTTCATAATGTGACAGGTGAAATGAAGAACGCGATCTGCTTTATCTCCGAACGTATTGCACAAGTTGACTGCAGGTATTTATTTAAAGTAGCTACAAATATAAACATGTATTGAAAAAATTCAAATAAATAGTTTCAAGGAATTTACGGTATTGAAAAACCATCCCGTGGCTATTTCCAAATACCCCGATATATGGTACAGTGAGGGAAAAAAGTATTTGATTCCCTGCTGATATTTTACGTTTGCCCACTGACGAAGACATGATCAGTCTATGCGGACGACACCATTTTGTATACATCTGGCCCTTCATTGGACACTGTGTTAACAAACCTCCAAACGAGCTTCAATGCCATACAACACTCCTTCCGTAGCCTCCAACTGCTCTTAAACACTAGTAAAACTAAATGCATGCTCTTCAACCGAACGCTGCTTGCACCCACCCACCCGACTAGAATCACTACTCTCGGCGGGTCTGACCTAGAGTATGTGGACAACTACAAATACCTAGGTGTCTGGTTAGACTGTAAACTCTCCTTCCAGACTCACATTAAGCATCTCCAATCAAAAGTTACATCTAGAATCGGCTTCCTATTTCGCAACAAAGCCTCCTTCACTCATGCTGCCAAACATGCCCTCGTAAAACTGACTATCCTACCGATCCTTGACTTCGGTGATGTCATTTACAAAATAGCCTCCAACACCCTACTCAGCAAATTGGATGTAGTCTATCACAGTGCCATCCGTTTTGTCACCAAAGCCCCATATACTACCAACCATTGTGACCTGTACGCTCTTGTTGGCTGGCCCTCACTACATATTCGTCGCCAAACCCACTGGCTCCAGGTCATCTATAAATCATTGCTAGGCAAATCCCTGTCTTATCTTAGCTCACTGGTCACCATAGCAACACCCACCCGTAGTCTGCGCTCCAGCAGGTATATCTCACTGGTCATCCCCAAAGTCAACACCTCCTTTGGCCGCCATTCCTTCCAGTTCTCTGCTGCCAATGACTGGAACGAACTGCAAAAATCTCTGAAGCTGGAGACTCTTATCTCCCTCACTAACTTTAAGCGTCAGTTGTCAGAGCAGTTTACCGATCACTGCACCTGTACACAGCCTTTCTGAAATTAGCCCACTCAACTACCTCATCCCCATATTGTTATTTATTTTGCTAATTTGCACCCCAGTATCTCTATTTGCACATCATCTTTTGCACATCTATCATTCCAGTATTATACGAAATTGTAACTATTTTGCACTATGGCCTATTTATTACCTTACCTCCATAACTTACTACATTCGCACACACTGTATATATATTTTCTGTTGTATTTTTGACTTTATGTTTTGTTTACCCCATATGTAACTCTGTGTTGTTGTTTTTCTTGGCCAGGTCGCAGTTGTAAATGAGAACTTGTTCTCAACTGGCTTACCTGGTTAAATAAAGGTGAAAAAAATAAATAAAACAGTGAGACAGAATAACAACAAAAAAATCCAGAAAAACGCATGTCAAAAATGTTATAAATTGATTTGCATTTTAATGAAGGAAATAAGTATTTGACCCCTCTGCAAAACATGACTTAGTACTTGGTGGCAAAACCCTTGTTGGCAATCACAGAGGTCAGACGTTTCTTGTAGTTGGCCACCAGGTTTGCACACATCTCAGGAGGGATTTTGTTCCACTCCTCTTTGCAGATCTTCTCCAAGTAATTAAGGTTTTGAGGCTGACGTTTGGCAACTCGAACCTTCAGCTCCCTCCACAGATTTTCTATGGGATTAAGGTCTGGAGACTGGCTAGGCCACTCCAGGACCTTAATGTGCTTCTTCTTGAGCCACTCCTTTGTTGCCTTGGCCGTGTGTTTTGGGTCAGTGTCATGCTGGAATACCCATCCACGACCCATTTTCAATGCCCTGGCTGAGGGAAGGAGGTTCTCACCCAAGATTTGACGGTACATGGCCCTGTCCATCGTCCCTTTGATGCGGTGAAGTTGTCCTGTCCCCTTAGCAGAAAAACACCCCCAAAGCATAATGTTTCCACCTCCATGTTTGATGGTGTTCTTGGGGTCATAGGCAGCATTCCTCCTCCTCCAAACACGCCGAGTTGAGTTGATGCCAAAGAGCTCGATTTTGGTCACCCAGTTCTCCTCTGAATCATTCAGATGTTCATTGGCAAACTTCAGACGGCCCTGTATATGTGCTTTCTTGAGCAGGGGGACCTTGCGGGCGCTGCAGGATTTCAGTCCTTCACGGCGTAGTGTGTTACCAATTGTTTTCTTGGTGACTATGGTCCCAGCTGCCTTGAGATCATTGACAAGATCCTCCCGTGTAGTTCTGGGCTGATTCCTCACCGTTCTCATGATCATTGCAACTCCACGAGGTGAGATCTTGCATGGAGCCCCAGGCCGAGGGAGATTGACAGTTCTTTTGTGTTTCTTCCATATGCGAATAATCGCACCAACTGTTGTCACCTTTTCACCAAGCTGCTTGGCGATGGTCTTGTAGCCCATTCCAGCCTTGTGTAGGTCTACAATCTTGTCCCTGACATCCTTGGAGAGCTCTTTGGTCTTGGCCATGGTGGAGAGTTTGAAATATGATTGATTGCTTCTGTGGACAGGTGTCTTTTATACAGGTAACAAGCTGAGATTAGGAGCACTCCCTTTAAGAGTGTGCTCCTAATCTCAGCTCGTTACCTGTATAAAAGACACCTGGGAGCCAGAAATCTTTCTGATTGAGAGGGGGTCAAATACTTATTTCCCTCTATAAAATGCAAATCAATTTATAACGTTTTTGACATGCGTTTTTCTGGATTTTTTGTGGTTGTTATTCTGTCTCTCACTGTTCAAATAAACCTACCATTCAAATTATAGACTGATCATTTCTTTGTCAGTGGGCAAACATACAAAATCAGCAGGGGATCAAATACTTTTTTCCCTCACAGTATATACTGTATACCAACCAAGCCTATTACGGATACAATCCCCTGAATCTCAAATCTACCCCCAGCCCATAGACACTTGTGTAGATCTGAGAGGTTTGGATGTGTTTATGCAACAAATATTAGTGCATTGAATCATATTGCATCCAACCAAATTGCATCCAGCCGAATTGTATCGATTCATTCCTCTAATTCAGGGGTTCTCAAAGTAGGGTCCGGGGACTACAAAATATTAAACTAATAATAATATTACTAACAATAACATATAAAAAAAAAATTGGCCAATGGATCCGTGGAATAAGTTTAGAGGGTGTAATACAATACAATACAATATAATATTATTAATCTACAATGTATGTTCTTAACCCTTGGCAACATGGGCCTGGAAGGCTCACAGGGATAATGGTATCCACAGTAGACCTATACGCCATCAATTATTGATTTTTCACCTCACTACTTCTTGTATTCCCCCCCATGTTTTATTGAAACATAAATGGACTGTAATTTAAGCTTTAAAACTGCTAAGTTTCTTTCTGCCTCATGGAAAAATGTGTAGAATTGCAGGATATTAGCTTTAAAGATGCAACAAACAAAAAAATTGCTCTGCCACATGACAAAATCTGTATAATTGCAGGAAATTAGCTTGAAAACTGCTACATTTTCTCTCCAATGCCAAGGGGAGATCCTTTAAAATGTTCCTTCCCAGGGCCCGAGACTTGGTTCGTCTGGCTTGTATGCTATTTTTATCTCACTCGATTTGTTCTGATTATGAGGGGGTCCCTGATGAATTTGCTATCACAAAAGGGTCCCCGGCCCCAAAAAGTATGAGACCGGCCCCAAAAAGTATGAGAACCCCTGCTCTAATGAAATTGAATCGCACCGAATAATTTCAAACTAAAACGTATTGTTCCTGTATCGGAGCCCATGTATCGAATCGTCTTGAAAGGGGAAGATGCACATCCCTAATGAGAAGCGTATACTAAAATATCAAAATACTACATGTCGTCATGTCTCAAAATCAATATCCATCTTACCTCTATATTGTTTTATGTCATGCGGATTCAAGAAGAAAGATGACGAGTTCAATTGGAAAGTGAGCCTGTCAAGTAGCCAGTAGCCTTCATTCTGGCACAGAATCCAGTTGACGCAATGCAATTTTCCAGATTTTTGATTACTTTATGTCTCTCCAATAACTTTTGAACGGATTTAGATAGCGACATGAGGTTTGTATCATTGGTTTTCTTATAGGATTATCTACACAATTAACATATTACTTTACCCATTGGTCAAAAGATGCATTTTTGAATGGACACCCTACTTATACCACAGTTTCTAAACCCAGAGGCCCAATGTCGCATACTTCCGGGAACGCTTCGAAGCAGACCGGGGTTTGGGAAGTCAACGGGAGAAGTGAAAAATTCTTCCTTGTTAATTTTTTTCAATCTAAAGGCACAATCTACATTCAAGCCAATGTCTTAAGTAGCTGCTGCTGAACATGTTATTACTCCAACATCGGGAACATGACAAACTGACACATTTTCATTTTCAAAAAACTACTTGATATCGAAGGAATGCATTTGATTTGACGACCTGCACATGCGCAGTTTGGCGCGAGACGACCGTTAGACCTGATGACGTTTTTCTGTGCATTAGCTAGCCAACGTCGCCATGACTTCGCCTACAAGCGTGATCTGGGAATTCTATTGGAGAAGCAGTTTATAGGAATATTCATACTGTACAATCTTTGATTATACTTTTCCAATCCTTTTTAGAGCTTCACAAGTACCTAGTATGGTAACCTACTATGACTTCTGCCAAAGGCCTGGACCTTACGGTACAGGAGGCAGTGTGTCTGCTCTGTAACTACTGGGCTGCTGATTCAACCCTCTCTTTGCTGTTGACCCTCAAATGCTACAATACTGAAGCCATGCATCGGCTGTTTCTGATTTCTTGTATTCTGTTTTTCCAGGTCCCCGAATGGTGTCTAGATCACTGGCATCCGTCAGAGAAGGCCATGTATCCTGACTACTTTGCCAAGAGGGAGCAGTGGAAGAAGCTGCGAGAACAGAGCTGGGCAGGAGAGGTAGGTTAGGCTACAGCTCTTTTCCATAAAGTGAAGAATTCTGTCCATTCTCATTTGTTCCTGTGACAGTAACAACATTTTCTGTGCTAAACAAAGCATCAAAGTTAAGAAAGAATGCATGGTTTGATGTTCACCAATGAGTCTGTCTGTACATTTTAGTCATTTAGCACAATCTCTTATCCTGAGCGACTTACAGTTAGTGCATTCATCTTAAGATAGCTAGGTGGGACAACCACATACCTCAGTCATAGTAAGTACATTTTTCCTCTAAAGTAGCTATCAGAAAAGTCAGTGCTAGTAGGGGGGGGAAAGCCAAGTGTTAGTTTACGAAAGGCACTTTTATTTGTTTTATTTTTATATCTTTGCCAACAAGTACACTCCCCAAGAACCTAAATCCTCCAAAAAGGAGTTGGACGTCTGGGAACATTTGATTATGTAATTTTCGGTCAAGGCATAATCAGGGACCTGGCATATTTTCTTTGAAGTTCTTTAATTATAAAATATAAAATATAATATAATATGCCATTTAGCAGACGCTTTTATCCAAAGCGACTTACAGTCATGCGTTCATACATTTTTTTTGTTTTTGTGTATGGGTGGTCCCGGGGATCGAACCCACTACCTTGGCGTTACAAGCGCCGTGCTCTACCAGCTGAGCTACAGAGGACCACAATTATTTCCTTCCTGTTGGATTAGAAATATGACAGATTAACAAACATTCATATTAATTAAATGTATGAATCAATTGATTATACTCACTTCAGACCACCTTATTAATCAATCTACGTGAATTGTTGAAATTTGGACTGTTCTGAGTCTAAGGTGTTGTCATCTCTCGTTTCAGGTCCAGCAGCTGCAGGAAGAGACCCCTGCCATTGGGCCCATCTCCGAGGCCCTCCCCCCAGCCCGCAAGGACGGCGACCTCCCCCCTCTGTGGTGGCAGTACGTCACCCGCCCCAGGGAGCGCCCCGTCTAAGAGCCCCCGGGTGACACTACCTGGTGATAACTCCATAACAGCTCACCACGGTACCTACTACCACACAACAGCATGCGGATTCACCTCCTTGTGAATTACTGTAAAGATAATGATATAATGGAGTTGTTTTGGAAGAGGTTGTTGTACGCAATTTGCAGTATGCGTTGTCAGATGGTATTCCACCCTGCGTGAATTGACAGTAATTATTTAGTTGTAAAAGTGTGTGACTTTCAAATTTAATGTAGATGTACATCTTTTCCTATACAAGGACATCTGTTTAAATAAATATGAGTATAATTCTTGGGAAATGCTTCATGTGTCTCTTTTTGATATGCAGTATTTTGATATGCAGTATTGGCATTGTAGTGTTGCGTATCTTGTGCAAGTGATATCGATTTTATGATCTCCACTTATTGTCAGGAAATCATACTACAACAAAGATAAGACTTTTGATAAGAAATGTAGAAAGCAGAAAATCAAAGAAACACTTCTAGAACCTTTTTCAACAGACGCACATTCTGCTACATCTTTATTTTTAGCTGAAACAACTGTTACATAGAAAATAGGAGACAGAATTCAGGAAATGAATAATAATTATCTTAGAGAACGTCAGTGGTACAGAAAGAGGTCAACTCTGTCCAAACATGTCTCTAGGTCATCAGCAACAGACTCACAAGGCTAGAGTACTAGTGTATGTCAATCTAGCCCACAATCTGCGGCCCAATGCTCGCCTCTTTTCCCTCATGTTAATGAACTTCAAGATTAACACATTAGATTAACATTATGTTTACATCATATTACTTTTACCTGTCACATATAAGTAGGCGAAACCGTTGCAGACTATTGGGACAAAACCTCGGATTTGCAAGGAGTGAGTCTTTGACCATGACCAAAAACTAACTTCGATTACTTCTAACCATTTTAGCATACATAAGATTTAGCAAAGTATCTCTACACCAACGGCTGTACTTGCGAAAAATACTACAGTATATTACAGCTAAGTTTTACATGGACAATATCAGACCATTGTCTAGAATAATTGAGTCGGGAGCTATATAGGATTTTCAGCGTCATATGCATGTCGTTGCATCGGCCACACTTAAGTTTCGCCTGTCTTACCTGTCTTGACTGGAAAAATAATCAGGCTTCAGTCGTTATGCACAAAGTCAAACTGCTCTCAAATGGGGGAAATGTATTGGGATAAATAGGTTCAGTATAAAAATTATCTTTAACACTTTTAAGAGTTAAAAACACCATGCATTACTCGATCTCATATAACAGGATGTCTTGAAATGTGTGTTTGACAGTACAGCTGGGCTACAACTTCTACACCACAAACTAAGGTATGGCATTCATGAAACATTATAATGGAAGAAATTACAATGTTTTGGATGTCTATACATATTAGGCCATGTCATCTTGTGAAATACTTTAGGTAGTCGCAATACTGAATTCTGTCTTCAGTTCACGGTGCTGAACACAAGCTAACACAAACTCGACTATGTTACCTTTCTCTACAACTCCTTTATTTTTTATTTTTTTAACATTTTCTAATACTATTAGTTTGTTTTCACGTTCGAATGAGTTCTAGTTACCAGTGATCACCACTAGAATAGCTTTCACAGAGTCTGTACAAGTATTTTCACAGCAGGACGAGCACTTGTTACGTTTTCCAGTTATATTTGCGTATGAATCCTCTGTATACCATTTAGCACAGCATCACTTGTATTGAAATAAATTATCAATCTCAACGTAACGGAAACTTTCTTCTCTAATTCTAGAGATAAACAGGAAAGTAAATAAGACTCCTATTCTATAGCCACCAATCAATGAGTGCTTCCACTGACACTTGAGTTGCATTCAAGGTCGAAACCTTTGCAACATCTTTCTATTGACAAATGATGTGACACCCATTGACAACCACTCATTAGATTGTTAACGATTGCAAGTGTGGCAAGTCCTTGCGTCCTTCTTCGCTGACCAAGAAGCTTCCTATTAACAGTGGGTTGTATTTATTCTCTTTCTGAATCTTTGGCGGTCTAGTTTATTAAGGCGCAATTAATTGGGGTAGAACATGCAAATTGATAAATTTTTCAATGATAAAAGAAAATAGATAAAATACTTGCTATTACAGGAAAGTAAAATGCCGCTTTCCATTGTGGTTATTTCCCTGTGTACCCCTCTTCTCCACACAATCTTACCTTGTATATCTTTCTCCCTCCATTATTCAATTGTTTTGCTTTACCTTTTATGTGTTATCACAGAAAAGATTAATCATATTCAGTAAAATAAAGTAATTTAAGTTAATTCAGCTCTAAGCCTTTTGGCACCTTTCATGACAATGGACAGGTAAAAGGAGAAAGTACGAAGAGGTGCATTGAACACAACATACAAACGCATCAAAATATAAATATGTACATACAAATAAAATATTAGATATTTTTCGTCATTTGAAAATAGTCAAAGCAGTTGTCGCTCCGTTTCCCTCCTTCCCAACTTTCCCGCGTACTTTCACGCATCTAGACTCCCACCCTTTTCTTAAACCTATGGGTGAAGACACTGAGTTACTGTATGTGATTCAATCTGCTACAGACCCAGACCTCGCACACTAAGCTAAGCCTCTCACACTATTCGCGGCGCCGACCGGTCGTTGGACGTCGTCTTCTTCAGCTTGACCCCTCGCCGTATGGCCAAGAGCACATCTTCCCCCTCGCCGCATCCGGGCTCCTCCTCCTGAACCTCCGGCAGGGCCTCACGGTCCCACTCCGACAGCCTACTACCAGACTGAGGTGGGGGAGTGGGCGGATCGGAGGGGACCTGAGTGTCCCAGGTTGCCTTGGGAGACACCAACCCGTTGTCCCCCGCTGAAGAGAGTGGGCTCCGGGGGCTCAGTGGTCCCCCTCCCTCACTCTCTCCCCTGAAGAACACCCCGGGGTGCTCGGGCACAGTGGGCGTCTTGACGGGGATCATGGGGGGCTTGATGGGGATGGGGCCCAGACCCAGGCCTCCGGAGGGCCGGCGCAGGTTGGGCTTGGAGGAGGGTGTGCGGCGGATGGTGGCCACCCCGGGGGTGACAATGCTGGCGGGGGAGGGGGCTGTGGAGGGGATGCCCGCTGTGGAGGCCGGCCGCTTGGCCTGGAACATGCGGCGGTAGGACTGGCTGATGTCACTGTTGCGGGGGATGGTGGAGGACTTGTCGAAGTCGGGCTGGTCTGTCTCCTGGTCACCACCCACGGAGAAGTAGTCGTAGTCGGACACTGGCGGGACGAGATAATATGAGGATCATTGTCACCTACACATACAGTACACTTCAAATACACATTTTTTATCCCTATGGATGTTGATAAGAAAATGCCATTAGACAAGAGGTTCAGATCCTTAGTCAAAACATGACTAACACCTATTATTGCTCACTCTAATTCAAATTGAGTGGACCCCTATCAAATATCCATACATTGACCTTCTACTGTATATATTAAGGACTAATGTGGATTACCCCTAACATGCAGTAGGAGACACACATACACATTACAGTACCTTGTGAGGGGATGGTGTCCTCAGAGCAGCACGGCGTGGTGTTCTGGGTGCTGTAGCCACTGGAGCACTGCAGGGAGTCCCTGCTGGAGCGCTGGATATCCAGCTGCAACCCCCGGGCCAGAGCCAGGGCCAGCTCCTCATGGGCCTCCGCCTCCTCCTGCTGACACACACACATTAAGACATATAGCTTATACATACCTATCATACCTAGCAATATGGGCCCTATTCAGACTTGAGATAAGTTGACTTAAAGGACAATTCTGCTACTTTTCAACCTCATATTCATTATCTCCAGCACCATACCAGTCTCTACATATCTGAAAACGGCACGGTCTATGATCTGTGGTTAAAAAGATAAGAAGAAAGGTCCTAAAAAATGCTTCTCTGTGACATCACAGTGTAGGATTAAAAGTTTTTACAAAATTGTGATTTCAAAACCTGCAACGAGTTTCTAGCCAGAGAGAGGATATTTTATTGCTCCCCACGTCACCGTGAATCTCAAGAGTGTTCGCAAATCAATGTTAATAAAATGTTTAACATTTTGGTGATGTCATCGGGTAGAAATGCGCAGTTTTCACATACAGTATGTAGGCAATGGTATTGTGCTGAGATAATGAAAATGAGATTGAAAAGATTGAAAAGTGGTGGAGTTGCCCTTTAATATGGACTTAAGTCAAAAAATGTTGACCTAAGTACTACAGGAAAAAGAAGAGGACCGAGCACGCCCCCATTCTCATTGACGGGGCTGTAGTGGAGCAGATTGAGTGCTTCAAGTTCCTTGGTGTCCACATCACCAACAAACTATCATGGTCCAAGCACACAATCGTGAAGAGGGCACGACAAAACCTATTCCCCCTAAGGAGACTGAAAAGATTTGGCATGGGTCCTCAGATCCTCAAAAGGTTCTACAGCTGCACCATCGAGAGCATCCTGACTGGTTGCATCACTGCCTGGTATGGCAACTGCTCGGCCTCCGACCGCAAGGCACTACAGAGGGTAGTGCGTACGGCCCAGTACATCACTGGGGCCAAGCTTCCTGCCATCCAGGACCTCTATACCAGGCAGTGTCAGAGGAAGGCCCTAAAAATTATCAAAGACTCCAGCCACCCTAGTCATAGACTGTTCTCTCTGCTACCGCACGGCAAGAGGTACCGGAGCGTCAAGTCTAGGTCCAAGAGGCTTCTAAACAGCTTCTACCCCCAAGCCATAAGACTCCTGAACATCTAATCAAATGGCTACCCAGACTATTTGCATTGCCCCCCTCTTTTAAGCTGCTGCTACTCTGTTTATTATCTATGCATAGTCACTTTAATAACTCTACCTACATGTACATATTACCCCAATTACCTCGACTAACCGGTGCCCCCGCACATTGACTCGGTACCGGTACCCCCTGTATATAGCCTCGCTATTGTTATTTTTACTGCTGCTCTTTAATTATTTGTTACTTTTATTTCGTATTATTTTATATTGTATTTTTGTGTGATTTTTTTTGTATTCTTTCTTAAAACTGCATTGTTGGTTAAGGGCTTGTAAGTAAGCATTTCACTGTAAGGTCTACACCTGTTGTATTCGGCGCATGTGACAAATACAAATTTATTTGATTAAGTCCATGTTATCTCATGTCTGAATCAGGCCCTATAACAGCAAGCATACAGCAAAATATATATTAAAATGTATCTTTCACACCATACAGACAACTGCATTTAACAGCCACACAACAGACCTGGGTCAAATACTTTCAAAAACTTGAGCTGTGCTTGATTTAGTTTTCCTTATAGTATACAGTAAATATTTGACAGGTCTGTCGTAAAATAAAAACACACACATGGCATTCACATGGTCATAAAGCATGGTCATAAAACACATTCATATACTGTACACCTCTACATTGGGGATATAAGTATAAGTATCCATGTGTTTCTGTAATTATGGGTGTAGTTACTTAAGTGATAATGCCCGAGAAGCCGGTGTTTGGAGGATATGTTTGTCTCGGGCCGGCAAACCGTGCCAATATATCCTCCAAACACTGGCTTCGAGGGCATTATCCCTGTTATACAATGGGTTACCAACATATTCAAATAATGATTGACATAGTTTCATTAAAAGCGTTATTTTGATGAATTTATTCATACTATTTCATACTTCCACAAGATATAGTCCCGATACAAATCTAGGGTTGCTACCCGGCTGGTCGTTCGTTCTATTGGTTCGGTTGCTAGAGACGCGACCCAGTCGTTCAGTCTTTCTGTTCTGTATCTATGGACGCGACCCAGTCATTTGTTCTAAATATTCCAATGACATACTGGCTGGTAACGTTCTTATCCCTTGCTTGCTAGCTAGCCAACTACGGCTAACTTACAGTCACGTCAAAATAACAGCCAGAATAACAGCAAAGTAGCTGCATTTGCATTTGTTTAAGCTGTTTTCTAGTGACATTTATTTGGATACATCCATAACAATGAGCTAATGAGGAGCGATTTCGCCTGACATAGAAAATGTGCTCACTCATCACGACACTGTTGTTCAGAGAAGCTAGCCAACAACACAGCTAACACAATCACTTCAAACTGAAGCTGGAAAGACTGCAAACTAGCTGCACTTGGTTTCGTTTTACCTTTTTTACAATTTACATTTCTTTGTATATATCCATAAAAATTATACCAGCTGATTCATGATTTAGCCTGCTGAGAAACGCTGCCTGTCTGTCTCGTCCCGACCCTTACATGTTCATTACTATGGGACAGCTGGAGATCGCATTTGAATATTGAAACAATGTTAAAACAATGTCGGAGAGACAGACTGCAAGATTTATAAAAATCTCCGTTGTTGAAAACTAAATGTTAGTCTAAAAGAAATGTGAGATAATGTCTAGATGCTTTTTATTATGGAGATCAAGTTGATACATTACTGGAACAGAGTAAATAGGCATTTAACTTAATAGATTTTGCTGGTGATAACTTGCGGAATAGACACCGGCTGGAATGCGGTTTTAGCCAATCAGCATTCAGGATTAGACCCACCCGTTGTATAACTGCATTGGTGCTCTTGGCTCTCTGGGGCTCCTCCCCTGGTGTGGTGGCCTGGGGGCTGCTGGGATCTGGAGTCACCCTCTTCTCCTTGGTCCTCCTCAGGGTGTTCACCATGGGCTGGTCGTAGGGCCCCGGCCTGGCCCAGTCCTGCAAAACACAGAGAGACAAAGCTCTTGAGCAACGCCTGCCAAGAATAGCTCTGCTCTGTTGTGTAGCTCTGATAGCTCTGTTGTGTTCATTACGCAAGAAACGGAAGAAAAAGGACTGAAACTGATTGTGTTTTTATAGAATTCATGCCTTTATGAATTACATTTATGCTGTATGACTTCACATATAAATACTTGCATAATGCAACCGGAGAGTGTTTGCAATCTCCCTGTGATTTGAAAAGTGATTGTGAGAAGTGATTGCATCAGTGTCTGATCATCCACAGAGGAGACTGGAGAAAAGGAAGGAGGAAGAGGAGGAGGCGGTCGATGACAGAACGGACGCACCTTCCAGGTGAGGACCTTGGAGGAGGGGATCATGCCCGGTCCCAGGGCGTAATAGGGGGGGTAGTCCACCAGGAGGGCGGAACCTGGTCTCGACCATTCCCACTCGGGGGAGGTGGGAGAGTAGGAGGGCGAGGCAAGAGGGGTGGAGGGGGAAGATGGAGGGAGGTCGGGGTAGACCTCCTGCATGCCCCCGCCAGACAGATAGGGGGCGGCAGAGGGCCCATGATGATGATCGTACCCGTTTGACAGCTGAATGTGAGTGGAGGACAAAGTGACACAACAATGAGAAATCATAATTCAAAATGGCGGCTGCTGGTGATGAAAAAGGAAGGTCAAAATAATGCACACGACTGAAATCAGATGGAATCGAATCATAACATCAAATCATGGTAGCAGACACCTGTGTCATGTTCAGTAGGTACAATTTGAAACAAAGCCAAATGCAGAAGATAGGCTACTACTTGAACTTGTCCAATAAGAATGCTCCTGTATTTGAGGCCCACTGAACATGACGCAGCTGTCTATGTGACAGAAATGAGGGAGGTTTGATCAACCAGCAAAAGTGTACCTAATAACTCTGCTCCTGTTTTGAACGTGTCTATGAGTGTTTAAGCGTGTGTTCACCTGTTCCACCATAGTGCTGGAGCAGGTCTCCTTAGAGGAGGCAGGTGAGGAAGAGGAGGACGAGGAGGAGCTGCCCTCACTGACAGGCTGGCAAGTCTCAGAGACGGCCGAGGATGAAGAGCCAGAGGTCTACAGCAAAGCCGTGCAGCAGGACAGAAAGGCACACACACACACACAAACACACACACACAGACAGACACACACACACACACACACACGTAAAGAAGCAGTTGAAAACAGAGCAGCCACGAAGAGACAGGTAAAAAAGATAAGATGCACAGACAGAAGTACAGAGAAAGAGAACAGAAGGAAAAACATTCTGGGTTTGCAACATCGATAAGAAGGAAAACATGAAAAAGCTATAAGCACTACGGCAAAGCATGAAAGTTATGCAAATAAGCGTGACTTGTTACACACTAAACAGCTAACAGTATGCAGATGCAGAGATTACAATGGACTGTATTAATAATAGTAGAGTCATAGGTGCTGAGTCTAAGGTGGGGGGGTCGGGGTGAGCACCTATGAGCTTATGTACACAGTGCAGAAAACATCCGAGCTTTTCAGCCATTAAAAGCCTTCCACATAGCACAGCCATTTCAGTGGTAATTAGAACTAAGAGGGCATTGTTTGAATTGAGCACCAACAAAGCAAGCATAGCTATACACTACAGGTAAAAAGGTTTACAACACCTACTCATTCAAGGGTTTTTCTTTATTTTTACTATTTTCTACATTGTAGAATAATAGTGAAGACATACATCTATGAAATAACACATATGGAATCATGTAGTAACCAAAAAAGTGTTAAACAAATCAAAATATATTTATATATTTGAGATTCTTCAAAAATAGCCACCCTTTGCCTTAATGACAGTTTTGCACACTCTTGGCATTCTCTCAACCAGCTTCATGAGGTAGTCACCTGCATTTCAATTAACAGGTGTGCCTTCTTAAAAGTTAATTTGTGGAATTTATTTCCTTCTTAACGCGTTTGAGCCAATCAGTTGTGTTGTGACAAGGTAGGGGGGTATACAGAAGATAGCCCTATTTGGTAAAGTCCATATTATGGCAGAACAGCTCAAATAAGCAAAGATAAAAGACAGTCCATCATTACTTTAAGACATGAAGGTCAGTCAATACGAAAAAAAGTGCAGTCGCAAAAACCATCAAGCGCTGTGATGAAACTGGCTCTCATGAGGACCACCACAGGAATGGAAGACCCAGAGGTACCTCTGCTGCAGAGGATAAGTTCATTAGAGTTACCAGCCTCAGAAATTGCAGCCTGAATAAATGTTTCACAGAGTTCAAGTAACAGACACATGTCAACATAAACTGTTCAGAGGAGACTTGCTGCAAAGAAACCTCTACTAAAGGACACCAATAATAAGAAGAGACTTGCTTGGGCCAAGAAACAAGAGCAATGGACATTAGACCGGTGGAAATTTGTCCTTTGGTCTGGAGTCCAAATTGGAGATTTTTGGTTCCAACCGCCGTGTCTTTGTGAGACGCGGTGTGGGTGAACGGATGATCTCAGCATGTGTATTTCCCACCGTAAAGAATGGAGAAGGAGGTGTATGGTGTGGGGGTGCTTTGCTGGTGACACTGTCTGTGATTTATTTAAATTCAAGGCACACTTAACCAGCATGGCTACCACAGCATTCTGCAGCGATACGCCATCCCATCTGGTTTGTGCTTAGTGGGACTACCATTTGTTTTTCAACAGGACAATGACCCAACACACCTCCAGGCTGTGTAAGGGCTATTTTACCAAGAAGGAGAGTGATGGAGTGCTGCATCAGTTGACCTGGACTCCACAATCCCCCGACCTCAACCCAATTGAAATGGTTTGGGATGAGTCGGACCGCAGAGTGAAGGAAAAGCAGCCAACAAGTGCTCAGCATATGTGGGAACTCCTTCAAGACTGTTGGAAAAGCATTCCAGGTGATGCTGGTGAGAGAATGCCAAGAGTGTGCAAAGCTGTCATCAAGGCAAAGGGTTGCTATTTGAAGAATATTTTTTGGTTACTACATTAATTAATATTAATTAATTAATTAATATGCCATTTAGCAGACGCTTTTATCCAAAGCGACTTACAGTCATGCGTGCATACATTTTTGTGTATGGGTGGTCCCGGGGATCGAACCCACTACCTTGGCGTTACAAGTGCCGTGCTCTACCAGTTTTGATGTATTCAGTATTATTCTACAATGTAGAAAATAGTAAAAATAAAGAAAAACCCTTGAATGAGTAGGTGTTCTAAAACTTTTGACCGGTAGTGTACTTCCAGCCACCACTAAGACCACACAAGCCTTATCTTGTATCTAAGCAACACTGTAGTTGTCATACAGGTATACAGTATATAAGGTCTTTACATTATCAGTGACTAAACACACACTTTGTGTGTATGCGTGGGTGCGCAATCAATCAGACCCAGCTGTGTGTTGGGTCTGTGAGCAGGGTGCCTGGCTGTTGGGCTAGCTCCCAGCTGCTCACCCCTGTGGTTCTAGTGGTCTATGTAAGGTAATGGGGCTGTGAATGTGAGGGTGACTCATCACAGTGATGCCACCGCTGCTGTCTCTAATGAGCCCCGTTACCTAGCAACCTGGGAGGATTGTCTCTGACCAGTAACAGAGCCCAGGTTGGGAGTCTGAAGTGTCGGGTGGAATACAATGCCTCTGTTACTGTGTGTGTGCATATGTTTTAGTTCATACAGTATGTTACTGCTTCTTAGTGGTTTAAGGTTTCTGTAATATGTCTGTTTGAGGGGTGTAGATAAAGCAGCCATAACACCAATGTGACCAGAGTCATATTGTCAACACAAGTTCCTGTTCTCAGGCTCGTCTCTCTGTAGTACCTGTGGGTGGGTGTCAGGGGGCATGGGCGAGGGCGACTTGGACTGGTAGGCATCCTGGGAGATGAAGCCAGAGTCGTGGGAGGAGACACTGGAGAGGCGGGCGGGGCCTTGCTGAGGGAGGGCGGAGCTCCGGTAGCGGTAGTGGGAGGTGGGGGAGTGGCAGTGAGAGCCGCTGGAGCGAGAGTCGCTGCTGTTGACGCTGTTCAGACTACTGCGAGAGACAAGGAGAGAACACCGTCTTTTGGTTACTAACGGATATTGGTAACTGGTTCTCAACTGAAATGCCTGGTTAAACTATGTAAATAGATGACAAAAATATTGATTCAAAACAATATTTACATTTTAAGGTTTTTTAAGACTGTTACTAGGTAATTTCAAACAGCTACAGTTTGAATATGTTACAGCGCCAGCCACAAGCAGAGGTCGCTAACAAGCTCGCCTGGAACACAAATTGGATGGTTTCTTTGGCCCTAATGCCTCACACAACACGCCTCTTCGAAAAGTATTGAGACAGTTGACTCATTCATTTCGGAAAGGCCACTGCGGCCTCACATTTGTAAACATCCCAATTATAGCAATAATGCCAAAGCTGCAGTACCACCTCCAATACAGAAGATGGCGTAGGAGGACTGAATGCGAGGCTGATGCGTCACTCCCAATCCCTACTATGTTCTCAACCAGTTGAGAGGTTTGGGTGTAGTAGTGTAGTAGTGGTGATTATTGGGCATGCTCACTAACCTGCACATGCTGGACTTCCTGGATGCTGTGGTGCTGGGGGAGGAAGGAGGGGTCTGGTAGGACCAGCTGCTCTCAGATCCCTTCAGGTCCAGAATGACCTTGGAGGAAGAACATCAGAACAAGGGAATTTATGAACAAAACATCTTGTAAAAAAGCAATTGGCAGCCCTATTTCTTAGAGGGAAATTGATTTCTTTACCATTGTACCTCCAATCATGTGAATCAGTAACACAGAGACACTCACCGTTATCCAGGACAAAAAGAGGACTATTTTAGCCCTGTCCTGAGAGTGCGGACCAAATCACTGACCTGCTCGCTGGCAGGGGGCAGCTTGTGGGGGTCCATGGTCAGAGCCTTCAGGTCATCAGTGAGAGTCTGCAGGTGAGTGATCTCCCCCAACATCGACATCTCCTCTTCCTGATGAACAAGAATGGCGGGTTGCTGTAAGGGCTTGTGCTAGCTTATAAATGTGGTATACATTTAAAATTAGAGCTTGTTCTCCATTGACAATAGCTCTACTTTTAGACTTCAGTGAATTGAAGCAGGTCATCCCTCTCTACTGGGATTTTCAAAATCTCTTTGGAGAGCAAGACTCAATGGCAATAGAAAAACTTAGAATAGACTACATTAATCACGTTCACAGGTGCATGGGAGAAGCAAAAACTAAAGTAAACTGACCAGCATGGATTACCGCAGATTGTGTATACTTACAGAATAAACATTTACTCAGATGCAACATTTGGGTCACATACACCTTCATCAAAAATCGCCAAATAGTTCACCTTAAAGGATGAGATGGTTGTTTGGGCGCACAAAGTGTACTGTATATTAACTTCCATAACAAATACACTATTGGTTGGAACTAATTTGTTGGAACAACATGATTGGTAATAATGTGTTGGAGCAATTGTTAAGCGGGTCCTACTTCATTTCTACATGTTTTCTTCAGCCCAGAACCCCCTAACAAATGATGTGTGTTTGACTACACAGACTGTTGGTCGGGACTCACCACGACAGGCCTCAGCATGGAGACTAAGGTGCAGAAGCGGCTCCTCTCCTCCACCAGGGCCTTCCTGACTGCCTGCTTCTCTGTCTCCTCCAGCAGCAGGTACTTATCACTGATGTCCTGCATGGCACTGTCCAGCTGGGGCTGGATGTCCCCCCGACCTGCGGCACACACACACAACAACCATCTTTGTTAGTTTTATGCTAACTTAGGGTTAGGAAGACAAAGTACACAGCTAAGTACACAGCAGCATAATCTACATTCAGTCTCAAACCAGATGTTTGTGTGGACTGTACAAGGAATTCTGAGGTGAAAACAGCACGAAAAGACTCTTAAAGATATGTTTTAACTGAATTGTGGTTTTCAGTCGTCATCATCATCATCATTAGATATATGGCAGGTAGCTTAGTGGTTAAGAGCATTGTGCCAGTAACCGAAAGGTCGCTGGTTCTAATCCCCGAGCCAACTAGGTGAAAAATCTGTCGATGTGCCCTTGAGCAAGGCACTTAACCCTAATTGCTCCTGTAAGTCGCTCTGGATAAGAGCGTCTGCTAAATGACAAAAATGTAAATATAGGTATAACCATCACCACAGTCCCAACCCTCTTTGTAATTACAATCCCTTGTACTACTTCACGCTTAATCTTTTGATCACTAATGGTCAGTGTAATCATAGACAATTTATATCTATGAGTGCAATCCTCACAGTGCTATCTCAAGCACAAATCAAATCATGCTGTGGAACCGGTTGGTGTTTACATCAGGGTCACACCCTCACAATATTACACAAACTTAGGATTCAGGAACACACTGAAGAACCATTGCCCTAGGCAAGGTACAGTTATAGCAGGATATTGTCCCCCTCCCCCCCCCACTTAAGTAATCGCTCTTCACAAAATGGAGCATTGTTCTGATTTGGACATTTTACCCTCTCAAATTCAACCGCTTAATCGTATCAAATCAGTGTTTTTGGTTTTACTGACATTCAAAAATCTAGCCGTGTTTTAATATAAAAGTGTCACATTTGTTATTTAAACGTCCAATGCAGCCGTTTTTTATCTCAATATCAAATTATTTATTGGTAACAATGACTTGTGATTGTTTTCAATTAAAATGGTCAAAAAGAAACAAAAATAGCTTCTTAGCAAAGATCAATTTCTCAAGCGAGAATTATGCTAGGACTAAAAAAGATATACATATAAATGGATGCGAGCATGCTTTCTGTTTTTCCCAACAACAAAAAAATTGTATTACGAGTAAAAAGTAATGGGGTATATTGCTTAATTAAATTACATTAAATTGTTATGACCTGTGTCTTTAAACCAATGTATGTTCAAATAAATAATTTACACTGAACAAAAATAGAATGGGTGACATGTCTGGTGAGTATGCAGGCCATATAAGAACTGGGACATTTTCAGTTTCCAGGAATTGTGTAATGCACATGGGGCTGTGCATTATCATGCTGAAACATGAGTTGATGGCGGTGGATGAATGGCATGAAAATGGGCCTCAGGATCTCGTCACGGTATCTCTGTACATTCAAATTGCCATTGATAAAATGCAATTATGTTCATGGTCCGTAGCTTATGCCTGCCCATACCATAACCCCACCGCCACCATGGGGCACTCTGTTCACAACGTTGACATCAGCAAACCTTTCGCACACTGGTGAGGACGACGAGCATGCAGATGAGCTTCCCTGAGACGTTTCTGACAGTTTGTGCAGAAATTCTTCGGTTTTCCCCAGCATAAGGTTCTTGATATGCCACACCTGTAAGGTGGATGGATTATCTTGGCAAATGAGAAATGCTCACTAACAGGGATATAAACAAATTTGTGTGCAAAATTTGAGCTAAATAAGCTTTCTGTGCGTATGGAAAATGTATGGGATCTTTTATTTCAGCACATCAAACATGAGACCAACACCTTGCGTTTATATTTTTGTTCAGTATAGATACATTTTACATTTTTAGTAGACACTCTTATCCAGAGCGACTTACATGAGCAATTAGGGTTAAGTGCCTTGCTCAAGGGCACATCGACAGATTTTTCACCTAGTTGGCTCGGGGATTAGAACCAGCGACCTTTCAGTTACTGGCACAACGCTCTTAACCACTAAGCTACCTGCCGCCCCAATAGTAAAAACATATAAACAGTTCTACAACCGATCATCAAGCATCAACAGAGTTCCAACCCTGCCACAAAAGGCTGAGTGATATGGCTTATTCATTATTATAGTTCAGGGCTCTACGGTCTACGTGGACAGTTTTCTACAAGGAGTACATCACTAAGTAAAAATGTAAAAGCACACAAATAAATCTAGGAGAACAATTTAAGTATTTTAGTGTTTTAATAATAAGAAATTACTAAAAGTTCATGAATAAATGTTTTTAGGAGTGATCCATGCTCAATCAAGCATAACCATTCGGTGAGACAAAAATGTCCAGCCGCCCCTTTAAGGGACGGACCTTTACTGTGATAACTTGGGCACTCGTTTGTCTGTGATGAAAAAAATCTCTGACTGTGATGCCTTCCTAGCAGCAGACAGTTGCAGCAACTAACCTAGCGTGTGAACAAAACAATGTAACTGGCCAAGAAACACGAGGACAAAGTCACACTTTAGTATCCTTTCTTGTCAATTCGACCAACAAATAAAATTCTACAAAATAAATTCCCAAATGCTCTGTGTGACCACCCGCCAATATGGCTGGTGAAATAGACATTCTTACCCGCCAATGATAAAATCTACCCGCATTTGGCGGGTAGCGGGTGTTCATTTCCAACCCTGTTTGGAACTCTTTCTTACTCTTTCTTATTGTGGTCCTCTGTAGCTCAGCTGGTAGAGCACGGCGCTTGTAACGCCAAGGTAGTGGGTTCAATCCCCGGGACCACACAAAACATTTTTTATGCACGCATGACTGTAAGTCGCTTTGGATAAAAGCGTCTGCTAAATGGCATATTATATTATATTATTATATATTATATTGGTCTTTTAACTAATTGACCACCTGGTGATGTCACCAGGCAGGCCAAAACTCCATCCCACCAAAACAGGCTGAAATTCTAGGTCAGCCTTTTCAAACAGCTCTTATACTAAAAGGGCATTATCATAATTTTCACAGTATTATTCCAACCTCATAGTGTGGAAATATACATAAAACACAGGAAAATCACGTTTTTGAATGCACAGGGCCTTTAAGAACACAATCAAAGTAGATTATGTATCAAGACATTGTGTGCTAAAAGAATAGAACTCTAGTCTGAACTGGTAGAGAAACGTTCAGTAATCTCCTCTGTAGGCTTTACGGACATAAACATGCAATTAAAGTTTTACATTTCTCAGAAGAGCCAGTACTAGTTATGTGGTTAAGGCTAGATAGATGGAGACCCCTTCTTATTTTCCAGGGAAAGTACTGCAGACGAATTCCTTCACGGGACACAGAATGCAACGTTTGGTTTCCCACAGTATTTACTGTGCGCTGAAGGATCACATTCGGCATGTTGCCGCTCTCCATTGCTCTCATTGCACTCATAGCAATGCACTGGGGGAGTTTCCCTGCGCTATATAACAGGCTAGGGAGACTATTGAACCAGAGAGCTCTGACCACATCTGAGGTTCCTCAGGGGTCAGTTCTCGGTCCTGTTTGTTTTGTCTTACAGGTGAGATTGAAGCTGGAAATCAAACTCTTTTGACGGTCAGGATAATATGGCCTTGTTTATAATCATAATAGGCCTTTTATGCTACTAAAACAGACAAACAGACTGGTTCAAAAGGCCAATGTCTAGTTTTTCATAGTACTTGAAAATTATTTGTGTTTGGCGAATGCATGCAAAGGGGTACCATTCACAATGTTGTATCATTCTCTCACATTGAATATAACAACATTCCAAACCTCTTCAAACAAGAATGATATACTCCTAAACTCTAAAAATTCTGTAAACACATATATCACAATACAAGATACAAACTAAGCAGTACTTGGTTTCATAACAGGCAGGATATGGTCAGGGTGAGACAGTGCAGGAGTCAGATCAAAAGCAGTACTTGGTTTCATAACAGGCAGGATATGGTCAGGGTGAGACAGTGCAGGAGTCAGATCAAAAGCAGTACTTGGTTTCATAACAGGCAGGATATGGTCAGGGTGAGACAGTGCAGGAGTCAGATCAAAAGCAGTACTTGGTTTCATAACAGGCAGGATATGGCCAGGGTGAGACAGTGCAGGAGTCAGATCAAAAGCAGTACTTGGTTTCATAACAGGCAGGATATGGTCAGGGTGAGACAGTGCAGGAGTCAGATCAAAAGCAGTACTTGGTTTCATAACAGGCAGGATATGGTCAGGGTGAGACAGTGCAGGAGTCAGATCAAAAGCAGTACTTGGTTTCATAACAGGCAGGATATGGTCAGGGTGAGACAGTGCAGGAGTCAGATCAAAAGCAGTACTTGGTTTCATAACAGGCAGGATATGGTCAGGGTGAGACAGTGCAGGAGTCAGATCAAAAGCTGTACTTGGTTTCATAACAGGCAGGATATGGCCAGGGTGAGACAGTGCAGGAGTCAGATCAAAAGCTGTACTTGGTTTCATAACAGGCAGGATATGGCCAGGGTGAGACAGTGCAGGAGTCAGATCAAAACATGACTCTAAACAACAAGATATTTTCTTGACAAACTTCTCCCAAATCTAGATCATATCAGAGCTGTCAAAGAAGAGGCCCTGTTTGTTGGCTGGGTTTCAGAGGAGATCTACATGTAACTGCCAAAATAAAGCAAACACTTGAATAAATGAGGGATACAAAGTATATTGAAAGCAGGAGCTTCCACACAGGTGTGGTTCCTGAGTTAATTAAGCAATTAACATCCCATCATGCTTAGGGTCATGTATAAAAATGCCCAGTTGCCCATTATTTTGGCTACCATGGATAGAAGAAGAGATCTCAGTGACTTTGAAAAAGGGGTCTCAAAGGAGCATAGTGTGTGTGTGTGGGTGTGTGTGTGTCAGTCACCAGAGACACACACTCAATTGAACACTCAACCCAACTGAACACTTATGGGAGATTCTGGAGCGGCGCCTGAGACAGTTTTCCCACCACCATAAAATCTTATGGACTTTATTGTGGAAGAATGGTGTCGCATCCCTCCAATAGAGTTCCAGATACTTGTAGAATCTTTGCCAAGGCACATTGAAGCTGTTCGGGCAGCTTGTGGTGGGCCAACGCCCTATTAAGACACTTTATGTTGGTGTTTCCTTTATTTTGGCATTTACCTGTATATTGTAGCCAGACAAATAATGAACTCCACAATTATTGAGTGACTTTGCCGCAGTCCCGATCTCCCCTGATGATACAAAATTAAGCTGCAGCCAAAAGCCCAAGGGAGTCAGTGAGGTATATTTGGAAGCAGACCAAACTCATGACACAGTGAGGGTAGTGGGTGGGGGAGGGGACCTCAGGGGAGACCGGAAGAGTAAGAGAAGCAAGGAGATGAACTATTTTGGGCATTCAGGAGATTTTTAACCCTTGAGTGAGGAATGTGACCGCACAATATGAAACAGACCAGTAAACAATGTGACAGGGGTCAGGGTGTGGGGGGACGGGGACGAGACCACACACAGGTGGGAAAGGTCAACGGAGGTCAACAGGTCAACAGAGAACCGTGACACAAAGGGAGCTAGAGGGGGCAGCGACTTACCGAACACGTCAGCTGGAAAGAACAGGGGCGTGATCGGATGCAACATGGCAGTTGTTGGAGCAGAGAGGAGAAATCTCAGTCAGTTTAGACCCAGGAGAAGGGGACCTGTTCTTGAATGGCTACAGGTTGCAGAATGGTCACAGTTCCTTATCATCTTGCCCAGTATATTATATTTTGGCCCAAAATCGTAAAGACATAAAGTCTGTAATAAAATCCAATGGATTTGCTAAGATGCAGCAAGGAGTACTATTCTATCCTATCCTGTTATTTGCACAATATAGTCCCTCCTTAAATCCAGACACATAACTTACCAAAAATATGTGGCTCAGCTGCCTCTCAACCCATTACTATTCTGGCCCTTTGGCAAGTCACCTGGGACAGTATGAGATGTGTCTTGGTAGAATTCAGTATCAACACTTTTGTTTCCTTCCGCCACCCCAAAATCGGATTTAGCTTCAAAGTCAAAGTCACAAGTTCAGAAGTTCTAGTTCCAGTCATAAGAAGTCCAAACCAGACACCAGGCATCCTCAGAGTCACAGTACCTTTCTTTGCCTTCTTCTGCAGCTTGAGAGTGTCGGAGGATTTCTTTTTGATCTCCTGACGGGCTTTCTTGTACTCTGCGGAAGGAAGGGAAACACAGCGGACACAACGTGTCGCACATTGCCATTGTCAGTGCTTTGAAGTGCGGTGCACACCCAAAATGGGGGCGACTCCTAAAAAGGAATAACATCTCATTGATCTTTGTTCTGAGGGACGCGCTTTCCATCTTAACTTCATTATGATAAGCTGTGGCTGGAAACAAACCCTGCAACGAGGGAGCACTCGTTGTTTCTCTAAGTGGAGAACTGAACTCTTAGGTTGGGTATTACTGAGCGGAGAGGGGGATTGGGTTTGAGGTGGTTAGTTGAAGCACATAAAAGCACTATTGAACTGTTGACTAAGCAAAATAATGCCTTTAAACACAATGGAAGCTTTTATTTTGAACTGATAAAAGACTAGTATCTTTGTGATTTGATGGCTCGCTCTGGAGAGCCTCTGAAGGTTTACCTGCTGAAGGGGAAACGGCGTGTTCTGACCTAAATGGATTATAAAGGGAGATATCTAGCTAACCATTATACTGTAGCACTGCAGGCAATAATGGGGTGAAGGAGTATAGAGTGTAATATGGAGAGGTTTGAGAAAGTGTATGTGTGTGTTGTAGTGGTAGGAGGTAGTATACTGTGTGTGTGTGTGTGTGTGTGTGTGTGTACAGCCCCTACCTTTGGCGTGGTCCTTGTCAAGAGTGTTGGCCACTCTCTTCCACTCCTCCATCTGGTCTTGCAGAGGGTTAATCAGGCAGTCGATGAAAACCCTTGGGTTGGGATTACAACTCAAGTCAAACAGAGCGGAGAATAACGATCTGTAGCAGAGAAATTGCTACAAAATACTAATTATTTAGTGTATTCCTCTAGGTGTGTGGTGTGTGTTTAGGCACTATGTACACAATTTAATCTCCTCATTTCATTCTGCTTATTTCACTCTCTCCACAACATGAGCTAATGGTGGAATAGAGAGAGAAAAGGCAGAATGGAGAGGTGGAGGAGACAGGGACTCACATGGAAAACTGCCTGAGCTTGGCCTCAATGCTCCGGTGCCTCATACACATCCTGGTGAGGGCTGAACCGATGTCTCTGGTGCCACCTGAAACCAGACCAACAACACAATCTGTCAGGCAGAGTCTGTTGAAGAGGGTTCACGACTGTATTTGTGAGCTAAATCACAAACATTCAGAGCATGCATAGAAGTATGAACATTTACAACCGATTCCATTGTAATTCGCTTTGTGTTACAGTTTCAAAGAACTGGTAGAGCCGTAAGAGTGCTACTGTGAAAAACGCTGTAAGTGAAATATAAGTATCTCATAACGTACAGTAGTTGGATGCTGTATCCCTGGGCAGTGGAGGACAACATAACAGTACGCCGTCTATGACTCCTACAGTGTCCAAATATGTACATCAACAGGAGAGTTAGTTTCACAGTGGAAGGCTGAAGCAACAGAGGCAGTGATATGTCCTTTTGACAGGGGTCAAAAGACAGTCAGCGTACATCACTTAGGTTTCTCAAATTGCTACTACTTTTAAACACACCCGTCCCATTTGGCCTGGTCTGTCTAAGTTTAGGACTATCAGGAGGAGCTTGCTGGGGGAGAGGTAGCACACTCTTCATTGCATCACTCACTGACACACACACACACACAGAGCCCTAATCACTTAAGTGTGACCGTTAGGGTTTTTAGTGAAAAGCAAACAAAGCCTATGACCTCACCTCTCCAGAAAAAAAGGATGGAGTAGAGGAGGGTGCGAAGTGTTGAAAAATTCCTCGCCAGAAGAAAAAGTTGTGTCATCTTCCACATTTCCCCTGGGACAGTAAAAAAGCCACACCCCCTCCTGACCCCCCTGTACTGACTGAATAGCACTCAACAGTAGCAGACTAGCAGTGCCTAATAGCTATGCAGGCACCAGGGGACAGATGGCCACTCTCTCCCCAGACAGAGACTCCCTCCTGGGTTATTGTTCCTCGGACTTCAGGCCTCATCAGTAAAGACCCAGGCTGCTCTATGGAGGAGGAAGTTCTTCAGAAACATCCCATTATAACAAGTGGGTGTGTGATTCAATGGTGCAGTGGACAATGGAATGGCCAGACACACTGTAACTAATCTATTGGGTTTTGTATTGTATTGCTGCACTTGCATCCACTGCTGATGACCATCATTTCAAACCGTGGGCAATGCAGAAAAGAGCTTGTGCATTTAGTCATTACTGTAAAATAAGTGAGTTTTTCTACAGTATTTTACCCAATTCAGTACAAGCTCTGATGATGTTTCTCAAATCCATTTCATACTTGAAATACATTTAATCGGACTGTCACTGATCTCCTAGGAAGTATTTCAATATCCATAGCTAGGGTTAAGTCGTTTAATTATTAAAAGACCATTCATGTCAATTCATCCAACCAGGAACTGGCGCTCACAATCATCAGCCATGGTTCACATTATCCCTTCTCAAGTTCTAAGCTCCTTTTCATATCTTCCTCATCCATCATTCAGTAGGTTTCTGTGTATTGGCTGTCTGGCTGTCATCACTATGTTTGTATAACCACTCTACCATCCATCTACTATTGCATTAAAATAAATATAATAATGTGCTATGGTATGATATTTCCATATGTTATTGTATGGTATGGTATTTCTAACCGATATTTCCATCTGCAGAGATTGGCCATGTAAAGCAATTGAAAATGAATGGGGGAGTTACATTATTTTAAGGGGGTTGGGGTTTTGTGTTACAGTATTATGTACAGCTGTAGGATCTTAATTAGATCAGCCTGTTGCAGGATCACTTTTAAAAAGGCTTCTGAAGTTTGTAATTTGAAATTTCAGACTTGATTTTCCCTTACGAAAAATGTATCAACCCCTATAAAAATGTCCATGAATTATAATCCACTAATTCACATTTCCTGTTGCAGCAGGATGTTTTTCCTGCTGTAGCAAACTGGCTCATATTAAGATCCTACATCTGTAAAGTGCTCCTTTAGCTCAACAATTGTTAGGGGGATTTCTGTTCACCCCTCTCCTATTATGTATCGTCCATGTCTGTGTGTAACATGGGGCTCTTTATTTTCAAGTACCCACTGGACATTCAGATCTATAACTGTAAGGTTTTTCTCTTATAGGAGCTTATGCTGCCAAACTCAGAAGTTAGCTGCAGATGGATTAATAAAGTTATATCCTATCCTAGCCTAGCACTTGCTCCACTGCCATTAAAATCTGTGCATTGCTGTAGAAGCAGTGAAAAGTTGTGTTTTTCTAATGTAAGCACCTCAGTGCCTTGTCAATATGACAGGTCTCTTGCAAAAGGCCAGACAGCAACAAAAGGGAAAATACAATTTTTCCACCCCATGATGCTCGAGAGTTGCCATGGAGACAGCAGCAGTCAACATGAATGAATCTCAGTAGCAGCTAGATAGCGAGCGAGAGAGAGATGGAGAGAGAGAGAGAGAGCAGCTATGATATAGCTCGTCTATATCTAATAGATCGTATATCTCTAGCTATGCGCTCTCGCTATAGAGTCCTCGCTCTCTCTCTCTCTCGCTCTCTCTCTCTCTCTCTCTCTCTCGCTCTCTAGATCTCTCTCTCTATCTCTCTTCTCTCTCCTCTATCTCTCTCTTCTCTCTCTCTCTCTCTCTCTACAGAACAAATGTATCGGACTTCCTCTGCTGAACGGCATCCATCTGTAATAAAGCTCCAGCTCCTCCCTAACACATTATGCCACAGTTGTTACAATTCAAATCTTTCTCTACACTGTCCTTTGTTCACTATCTTACATAAGGAGCAGTGTTTATATGCTACAATACTTTGGTGGTGGTCTGTTTACATCTAATTGAAATCCAGAAGAGGTTTGGAAAATTCCGGACATATTTCCTGCTCCACACACACACACACACACACACCACACACACACACACACACACACACACACACATACGTGGACATGCAGGCACGCAAACACGCACACCAATCTCTTCACACCCCCACCACACACGCACATACACACTGCTCCTACTCCTAGTATGTGAAGTCCCACCCCTACACTGCCAGTCTCTAAAAAATCTCCTGACCCCCAAATCTATAAATAACCCAGTTGGTTGGTGCGGGGGCTCTGGTTGCCAGGATCCCTCCTGAATAGCTGATGTATGGAATAGCACTCCTTATTAATAGCTGTGACATGGGGGCACTGTGGTATGGTGAACACTGCATTGCAGCAACACCTCCCCTCTTTCTCACCCTCTCCTCACGCCCCTTCCCACTTCCCTTCACTCGCCTTCTGTGAGTTACCTCTTCTCTCCACCTCTTTGATGCAGGAGGAAGATTGCCTCTGATATATCTATATGTCAGGTCTTTGTAGTATGACATAGCATTTCAATAGAAACCTATAGACATAGCCTATTCCTATTGAAAACAAATAGTAACTGTTTATGCTGATGTATCATTTGTAGATTACAAATTATTCACCAAATGCTAATAAACTTAATAGACAGACACTAACAACAAACTTCATATGGAAAGCTTTTACAAGGAAGGTTTTGATCTAGTTGCGGAACAATCGGCCCAGATTAGTTTGAAAGGGACCTACATAAAGCATGACTCCAATATACTACAAACCAGAAAGAGACCTACATAGCTAGCTACAGTATAGGCTCTCAGAGTGCTAGAAATATACTGAGCAATGGAAGCTGGTAGAGTTTGTGTGAAATGGCACCCTATTACTACAGTGAGGGAAAAAAGTATTTGATCCCCTGCTGATTTTGTACATTTGCCCACTGACAAAGAAATGATCCGTTTATAATTTTAATGGTAGGTTTATTTGAACAGTGAGAGACAGAATAACAACAAAAAAGTCCAGAAAAACGCATGTCAAAAATGTTATAAATTGATTTGCATCTTAATAAGGGAAATAAGTATTTGACCCCCTCTCAATCAGAAAGATTTCTGGCTCCCAGGTGTCTTTTATACAGGTAACGAGCTGAGATTAGGAGCACACTCTTAAAGGGAGTGCTCCTAATCTCAGTTTGTTACCTGTATAAAAGACACCTGTCCACAGAAGCAATCAATCAATCAGATTCCAAACTCTCCACCATGGCCAAGACCAAAGAGCTCTCCAAGGATGTCAGGGACAAGATTGTAGACCTACACAAGGCTGGATTGGGCTACAAGACCCTCGGCAAGCAGCTTGGTGAGAAGGTGACAACAGTTGGTGCGATTATTCACAAATAGAAGAAACACAAAATAACTGTCAATCTCCCTCGGCCTGGGGCTCCATGCAAGATCTCACCTCGTGGAGTTGCAATGATCATGAGAACGGTGAGGAATCAGCCCAGAACTACATGGGAGGATCTTGTCAATGATCTCAAGGCAGCTGGGACCATAGTCACCAAGAAAACAATTGGTAACACACTACGCCGTGAAGGACTGAAATCCTGCATCGCCCGCAATGTCACCCTGCTCAAGAAAGCACATATACATGCCCGTCTGAAGTTTGCCAATGAACATCTGAATGATTCAGAGGAGATCTGGGTGAAAGTGTTGTGGTCAGATGAGACCAAAATGGAGCTCTTTGGCATCAATTCAACTCGCCGTGTTTTGAGGAGGAGGAATGCTGCCTATGACCCCAAGAACACCATCCCCACCATCAAACATGGAGGTGGAAACATTATGCTTTGGGGGTGTTTTTCTGCTAAGAGGACAGGACAACTTCACCATCAAATCTTGGGTGAAAACCTCCTTCCCTCAGCCAGGGCATTGAAAATGGGTCGTGGATGGGTATTCCAGCATGACAATGACTCAAAACACACGGCCAAGGCAACAAAGGAGTGGCTCAAGAAGAAGCACAATAAGGTCCTGGAGTGGCCAACGTACAAAATCAGCAGGGGATCAAATACTTTTTTCCCTCACTGTATATAGTGCACTACTTTTGACCAGAGCCCTATGGAAAGTAGTGCACTCTAGAGGGAATAGGGTGCCATTTTGGATACACTTTAGTGTTGCCATGCTATACTGACTTTGCAGGCTGGCCAACGCCCTCTGGCCAAACAGGCCACATCTGTCAGACACGTATTGACCTCAGCAGAGTTGATGGCATTTTAATGACAATCAGCCTGATCGATTCACCTCTTTGTCCAGACCAGCGCTAACAGTCCAATGTGTTTACCAACGTGTGTCGCCATAGTTCTGTCTGGTCTAGACAAGACAGCAAAATGTAGATAGGCATGTTAATGTATGTTTTTGGCCCAGTGACCACAGTGACCAAATATGTTTCGTGTGATAGCTAGCTAACTCTAAACAGACAGTTACTTCCTATCTTTTTGACAACAGAATGTAGAAAATTGCCGTTTTCACATGTCGACACTGGTGTGGTGCTGGAGATAATGAATATGATGTTAAAAATGGCGAAGTGCCCTTATAATTAGGCAAATCTACATACTACTTACTATAAAATTGTAGTATGTCACTGACTACTTTATCAAGATCCATGGGACAATCAGAGGGAGTGATACTTTACGGCACATTCTTCTTCTAGCTATTTCAAATGTTGTTCTACAGTATCTGCGATGTATTTCTTTAGGTTACTCTGAAAGCCCATTCAACCACTTGTCTCTATATGTCAGTG